GTGTATGGAATGTAACGTTGTACAGTGCGTGTAATTGTGTGTATGTGTGTCGTCTTAGTGTGTAATGTTGTATTGGTTGGCGCTGTATGTGTAGGAAGTTGTTGTTGTTGTTGTGTTATGATCTGCCAGTGTGTGTATAGAGAGTCGTGTTGTGTTTATCGCAGTGTTTGTTGTGGTGTGAGAAGAGTACTGTACGTGTAGCGGTGCCAGTGTGTGTTGTGTGTCAGGTAGAGTGTGTTGGTGTGTGTACACAATGGTGCATGTGTTGTCTTAAGTATGTGAACTGTTGTGTGTGTGTTGCTAAAAGTACAGGGAAGACTGTGTGTGTATACATAGTGTGTTGTGTTTGTACTTATTAGGGATGTATTGTGTTGTGTATTGACAAGTATGCATGTGTTTTGTGCTGTGTATGTGTTGTGTTAAGTATGTTTAGTGTGATGTGTTTGTGCTGTTGTATACGTAAGGGATGTAGTGTGTCCTTGTGTTGCTGTGTGTTAATGTTAAGTATAGAAATATTGTGTTTTGTGTGTGTTTGGCAGTAGTGGAGATGGAAATTGAAAACACAATCACACATGCATGCACGCACACGTACATGCTTATCAATGCTCACAAACACATGGGCACACACGTGCAGAGATACACACACACGTGCAGAGATGCACACTCACACACGTTCAGAGCTACACACACGCGTGCAGAGATACTCGCACACATACACGTGCAGAGTTACACTCACACACACGTGCAGAGATACACTCACACACACGTGCAGAGTTACACTCACACACACGTGCAGAGACACACACACGTGCAGAGATACACTCACACACACGTGCAGAGTTTGCACACACACACACGTGCAGAGCTACACATACACGTGCAGAGACACACACACGTGCAGAGATACACTCACACACACGTGCAGAGATACACTCACACACACGTGCAGAGACACACTCACACACACGTGCAGAGACACTCAAACACACGTGGAGAGACACTCACACACGTGCAGAGACACTCACGCACACGTGCAGAGACACACTCACACACACGTGCAGAGATACACACACACACGTGCAGAGTTACACTCACACACACGTGCAGAGATACATTCACACACGTGCAGAGACACTCACACACACGTGCAGAGATACACTCACACACGTGCAGAGTTACACTCACACACACGTGCAGAGATACACTCACACACACGTGCAGAGTTACACTCACACACACGTGCAGAGATACACTCACACACACGTGCAGAGACACACTCACACACACGTGCAGAGTTACACTCACACACGTGCAGAGATACACACACACACGTGCAGAGACACTCACACACGTGCAGAGAGACACACACACACACGTGCAGAGATACACTCACACACACGTGCAGAGATACACTCACACACACGTGCAGAAGTTACACTCACACACGTGCAGAGATACACTCACACACACGTGCAGAGTTACACTCACACACACGTGCAGAGATACACTCACACACACGTGCAGAGTTACACTCACACACACGTGCAGAGATACACTCACACACACGTGCAGAGACACACTCACACACACGTGCAGAGTTACACTCACACACGTGCAGAGATACACTCACACACACGTGCAGAGTTACACTCACACACACGTGCAGAGATACACTCACACACACGTGCAGAGTTACACTCATACACACGTGCAGAGTTACACTCACACACGTGCAGAGATACACTCACACACACGTGCAGAGTTACACTCACACACACGTGCAGAGACACACTCACACACACGTGCAGAGTTACACTCACACACGTGCAGAGATACACTCACACACACGTGCAGAGTTACACTCACACACACGTGCAGAGATACACTCACACACACGTGCAGAGACACACTCACACACACGTGCAGAGTTACACTCACACACGTGCAGAGATACACACACACACGTGCAGAGACACTCACACACGTGCAGAGAGACACACACACACACGTGCAGAGACACACACGTGCAGAGATACACTCATACTCACACACGTGCAGAGATACACACACACACGTGCAGAGACACACACACACGTGCAGAGCTACACACACGTGCAGAGACACTCACACACACGTGCAGAGATACACTCACACGTGCAGAGGCACTCACACACGTGCAGAGACACACACACACGTGCAGAGATACACTCACACACACGTGCAGAGTTACACTCACACACGTGCAGAGATACACTCACACACACGTACAGAGGCACTCACACACGTGCAGAGACACACACACACGTGCAGAGATACACTCACACACACGTGCAGAGCTACACTCACACAGGTGCAGAGATACACTCACACACACGTGCAGAGATACACTCACACACGTGCAGAGATACACTCACACACGTGCAGAGATACACTCACACACACGTGCAGAGATACACTCACACACACGTGCAGAGATACACTCACACACACGTGCAGAGATACACCCACATATCCATTCATACTCCCACAACTCACACACCCATACATGCAGACTCACACCCACACCCACGTTCATTCATACATTTACACACGTGCATAATACACTCACGTAAACATACTCACATCCATACACTCCCACATATCTTTACCAATATTCACACGAGCACACACACACGTCCCTTACGCTCACTCACAGTATACCCTGTTGCCTTGTATGGACGAGTGCTGTTAGCGAGCACCTATTAGCCCCGCACTCAGCTGTGACACACACGTGCTTCCACGCGCTTGTAACATGGGGTTGGTAATGATGCTGGAGATGCTGCTGTTAATGTTGTTGCTGATGCTGTTGATGTTGCAGCTGATGATGGTCATGTTGATTTCGTTTATTATGATGTGGTGTATGTATATGTACGTATAACTTCTTTTGCACTGTACGTAGCCAATCGTGCTGATTGGAGGTGCTGCTGATAATATGAATGCTGCTACTGATGATAATTTGTATGCTAATGTTAGTTATGATGGTAATGATTATGGTCATGGCAGCTTGCAGGTGATGGTCATCCTCCCGTTGTGGTGGTGGTGGTGATGCTAAAGCATAATGTGTATCTCCTGTAGTAGTATTTATTCTGCGTGTGTCCCAGGAAAGCCTGAGTCTCAGGACTCTTTCCCAGGCGGGTCCTGCCTGCAGTCGTGGGCATTGATGAGCCGCATGTGCAAATCCCAATTGAGTAATTTTCGGGCAATTTTTCTAAACCTGCCAAATTTGGGCCGTGACGCCGACACACCACGGCCCGTTCTTGCGAACGGCGTCACGGGAATCTTTAACGTCCACTGCACTGCGAGTGAAGCGGATGGCACTTCGCATTCTCACGGCTAATAGTATTCGTATTCTCACGGCTAATAGTATTCGTATTCTCACGGATAATAGTACCAAGGAATCCGTGAACCTCTCTGCCACAAGTGGCGAGCGCGCTGCCTCTGGTCCGTGGCGTCGCCACCGTGTGTGAGTGAGAGTGTCAGTGAGCAAGTCGGAGTGTGTCGATGTAGAATTAGGCATTCTAACATGCCCAGGCATTTGGGGTTTCTGTCTGTTAGGGGGTCCCTGTGTGGATTGAGAGAATATTGTGAGGGGGCTTGCAGGGGGCTAAGGGGGTGAGTGGGGCCCCTCTCTTTGTCCCTACAGCCCCTGGACCCCTTTCTCATTTCACACTAAAACCACTGGGCCCATTGTCCCATTTGTTTGGCCCTAAAAACAAGGCTCTATTTTACGGGTGGAAAAAAACCCCACCAGCTCTTTTTCTTCTCCGCTGCAGTTTTTGTTTTCTGTTTATTTATTTAATTCCCTTTTCTGGGGTACATTTTTTTAGTCGTCCCTTTGTCCGGCCCTATTTGTGTTTCTTGTGTGTGCCCGTGGGTCTGTGTCCGTGTGCGTTGTGTTTTTTTGTGTGTGCAAAAATACAATTCTTGGGCTCCAGAGTTTCAAATTGTGGCTTCACCATCATTGTGAGGTCTCACGCAGGGCGCCCAAATGACCGAGAGTAACCCCATGCCCGCCCAGCACTTAAGCACCCTGCACAAATAAAGCTACCACAATCCACCCACCACAATCCATCCACCACGATCCACCCACTGTGATTCATCCACCGTGATCCATCCACCACGATCCACCCACCACGATCCACCCACCCACCACAATCCACCCACCACTTTCCACCCACCACTTTCCACCCATCATGATCCACTCGGAAGGTCACGGGTTCAACTCCTGGTTGTGGGGGTTGACTCGGCCCATCATCCCTCGGAGGGCGATTAAGTAGGTATCGACTTTGTAGGGAAGATCCACAATGATTTATTTTCTGCATAGACTCACCCCCACCATAAGAATGAGGAATTCCCATCACTGGCTCTGCAGGGATGTAAACGGAAGATGAGCACCAATGCCTCAATGCTCATTTGAGCAGAAAATCACTTTGTCACTTTGTCTGCTGAAATTGAGTCCACTCGCTTTATTCCGTACGTAGTATCTAGCAACAAGACACCAGGCTGTGACATGATGATGTTTTTTTGATGGGGATGTTGATGACGATTCTGATGGTGTTGTTGATGATTTTGGAGGAGGAAGTATCCTTGTTGATAATTATGAGAATGCTGCTTATAACAATTGAGATCGTCATCGCAATGATGGTGATCATCATGATTATGAACACGTAATTACGCGTGATGTCATCTCTGAATAGCGCCACGTGTTGTGCATTTCTTTCCTCAAGTTTACACCACGCACTAACGAGTGCCCCACATTCATGGCAATAATTAAACATTCAAGGTTTTTTTCTCCAGTAAATAGCAATACAATTTCAATCTTTGGGGTCTCAAGGAGTAGGGGGCATGGTGGGGATCTGAACCCTATGGAATCCACGGCTGAAGCGGAGTGAGAGGGCACCGGGTGAACGCGTCGCGAGGTCTGGACACGAGCGTGATTTCTGTTCGTGGCGCGGTGGCAGGGCCGGGCGACTGGGCGGCGCGCGCCGCTGTGGCTGCGCGCGCGCCTGCAGGCCGTGCTGTTCGAGCTCGGCTGCCGGATCCACGCACACTGCGGCAAGGTCCTCTTCCTGGGCCTCCTCGTCTTCGGGGCCTTCGCCGTGGGCCTCCGCGTGGCCTTTGTCGAGACCGATATCGAGGAGCTCTGGGTTGAAGGTGCGTGCGGTGCGGGCGGTGCTTGCAGTGTGGTACGTGCGGTTAGCGTGGTGCGTGCGGAGCATGCGGTGCATCTGCCAATCTTCTCACGGCATCTGGGTCTGTTCCGTGACCTAGCAGCCAGCCGGTAATACTTCACGTGGCCTCGCAGTGCACCTAGCCTGGCACAAGCGCCGTGGTGACATCACCGCCACTTAGTGGTGAATGGTGACTGTTGTGTTTGCGTGTTTGTGGGGAGCGGTGGTGCAGTGGTTATCACACCGCGCTGCAAACTCGGCCACCCGAGTTCAAGGATGGCGATGATGATAATTTTGACAACCCAACTGTGCAGACAAACGTGGCCAGGCATGGGCGTGGTATGACGTGAACCCAAATATATCTTCACAAACCATGGTCGATCCACTGCTGGATGAAGGCCTCTCCAAGCTGTTGGTCACCTCTCATGATCATCCTGCTGATGAGACCCTGAATGTCACGAAACCGTTCCTGAGCTTTGCTTGTGGTGAGCCATTTCGGCTGAAATAATCGCTCCCAGAAGGAATGCCGTGTGGCTGATGGGATGTGTGGATTTAAATAAAAAATGTTAGGTGGAAGCCAGATATGGGAAGGAGGTGCATCGTCAGTTTATTGACATATATCTTCTCCACAAGGCCCAGTGATTTCCTTGCGATGTAACGGTCCACCTCTGTCCTCCGAGTTTGAATTTGGTCAAGTCACCGTCGTTTCTGCAGGATTCCAAGTGGGCTCGCAGGGCGTGACCCCCGCGAGGGACGGGGAGCGGGGATGTTTATCGGCCAAGAGAGGGGACGGTGCAGGGGACAGCAGAGCGGAGTATGGGAGATGGGACAGTATAGTGGGGGAGGAAGGGGTGAGAAAGGAGGGTACGGGAGGGAGGAAGATAGCAGCGGAGTAGGGGATCGGAGGAGAGTGGCACGAGCTACTTAGGAGGATGGCATGGGGGTACAGGGTAGATCGAGTCATTGAGAGCACTGGGAGTTTCGATGAGGGAGAGTGGAAAGAGGAGTTGGGAGTGAGGAGTGGAGAGGGACGAGAAGGTGGTGAGGGGAGAGGAGTCGGAGGTGAGTGTGTGAATTGAGAGCGAGTGGAGGCCGGAGGGGGAGCAAGTGACAAGTAGTAATCGAGAGGAGAGACAGAAGAGAGGAGTGAGGTGAGCAGAGAGAGAGCTGAGTGGGGTGAGGGGTGAGGGAGAAAGAAGGTAGAGCTGAGTTGGATGAGGGGTGAGGGGGGGTAGAGCTGAGTGGGGTGGGGGGGAGGAGAGAGGAGACATCAGCCAAAGCTGCCGCCATTTTGCCCCCGGTGCTCGCTGTGTGGTCTGACCGGTGGTGGCCGAGTTCCATCCCCGCGCCCCCCCCCACCACTCTACCCCCCCACCACCACTCTACCCCCCCACCACCACTCTCTCTCTCCCCACCTCCCCCTTCCTCTCTCTCTCCCTGTGCTCTCCCCTCCCCCAGCTGCCCCATTATCCCAGCGCCCATCCCATCCCGGCAGCACGGCTGGGGTGGAAGCCAACACACACACAGAGACACACACACATAGAGACACACACACAACAACAACAGCAGTCGCCGTTCACCAATAAGTAGCGGGGGCGTCACCACGGTGCTTGTGCCATGGTAGGTGCACTTTGGAGGCCATGTGAAGTGTCGGAAGGCCCGCTGGCAGGTCACCGGACAGACCCGAGCGCCATGGGTTGACTGACTGTGTTGACAACCGCGCTCCCCACTGTACCAACTTGCTGCATTTTATCCGCCCGACGCTCCCCTCGTTGTTGTGAGCGTCGCTCCTCCACCCACCGCTGTTGCTGGAGCGTGACTGCCTCCGACTTCCCAGTAGCATCCTTAACAGCCTCCTCCACAGAGGCCGATCTTGACACCGCTGGTAGCAGTCAGCGGCAAGTCCAATCCGCTCCACATCTTCCCACAACAAATGTTTCTAACCGGCACAGATGTTCCTTCAGAGGGGTCCACGTTTTGCAAGCCGAGAGAAGGGAGTGCACGACTGTGACCGAGAAGACCCGGAGTTTCGTGTGGAGCGACAGACCAGATAGCTTCCACATAGCGTTATGCAGCTGATGAAAATGTAATGCCAGTCGACTGATTTGTAGTAAGACTTTTCTTGGCAAACCAGAACGAGTCATAAGCACACTGCTCAGGTACGGAACATCTCAATTCCCTCCACATCTGCCCTATCACCAATGGGGAGTTGAGGGGTGGAGTGTTTGATGGCATGAAATACCCAGTTAGGTACCTTTCGTGGGGCAAATGGTAAGGCCCCACCTCCGAGTGACATGAGCAGCAAAGCTCCTAACTCCTTCTCAGAGGGAGTAGCAACCATCAGATCATCAGCATCCGTAATAACGTGGTTGACCAAAAGGGAGCCATCCCTTGACCGCACCCGAGCATTGATCCCATTGTATCTGTACCAGATGGAAATTCCTCCGGTACAGCCATCGAAAGCTTCTCGAACTACGTGGTCGAAAAAGTATGTTAAATAATGTCAGAACTAGAGGACACCCCTGTCTCTCCCTAAGGTGAACCGGGAATGGCTCTGGATTTACCCGGGCCTGCCTACCAACATGAAGGTTCTTACTGATTGTGAGCAGAGATTTAGGGACCCCAAAAGCATTAAAAATAACTCGGAGCCCTGGTATATTGATGGTATTACAGTGATACCTCGGTTCAAGAACGCTTCTGTTCACGAACAACTCGGTTCACGAACAGAAAAGTTCATAAAAATATGCTCCGGTTCACGAACTCCGCTTCGGTTCACGAACAGGAGCCGCGGCCATTTTAATGCTATTTCCAGGCTGTCACGTGGTCGTGACTTCCTGTAGGAAGATCGTGGAGAGAAGAAGAGACACAGAAAGAAGTACTGCGAGTACTGTGAAGACACTTTCAGTGACTTTTTGCTTTTTGGTGTGCTTTCTAGCACATACAATACTGTACTGTACTACTGTACTGTATTGTACAATACTGTACTTACTGTATTGTACAGTTCACCCGTTTGAGTGCTTACTGAAGTCATCTCAAGCAAGGTTAGTGTTCTCTCTTTATACATTACTATACTGTACAGTACTAATGTGTATTGTAATTTGTTTCATATTTTTGTGCTTCAAAAACCAAAAAAAACGGTCAGAACGGATTAACCGGATTTACATTGAACCCTATGGGAAAATGTGCCTCGGTTCACGACCAATTCGGTTCGCGACCAGAGTCAGTTCACGAATTAAGTTCGTGAACCGAGGTATCACTGTATAGGCCTTGACTAGGTGAATAAAGCACAGATGTAGGTCCTGTTGGAATTTTCCTACACCTCTGCTGTAGCAGACGGACAGAGAATGTATAGGACTTCCCCGACCTGAATCCACATTTGGGTTCTGCAAGTTTTTCTTCAGTGTGCCTAGCAAGAGACACACAAAGACAATGGCACATACATACACAGATACACACACAAAGACACACAGAGAATGACACGAAGAAACACATGCAATCAAAACAGTGTTGGAAGAACTTGCTGTGGGTACATTCTCGCGGGTGCAAATTCCACATTCATTTAGCAGGAACAAGTCTGTCGACGTATAAGCCCTCATTGTAATAGCTAGACGTGTACCGTAATGGCTCTATTTGGGCCTGCTTAGGAGACTCGGTGTAGGGTGGGCGGAAAGTTCATACACCCCTGTCTTGAAAGCTGCTGTGGACACAAAATGATGAATGGGTAAAGGAAATTTCCATCCACCCTATACACAACACGTGTATGTGAGCACTTCAGGTATGCGTATGTGTGTAGTAATGTTGAGGGGAGCGGTGGCGCAGTGATTAGTGCATTGTGCTCCGAATCCGGCGAGTTCGATTTGTGCTCACGGCCAACATCGGTGATGATTAATTATCTGAACCGGTGCTGGGCCTGCCCTAGGTCAACTCCGCCTTAAATGAGTGCCTGATGCATTGAGGATACAATGGTGGCCGGATATAGCTTTGGCCACACCACCCTTTCATGCCAAATGCCAACCTTAATAGGTGCTCGCTAACAGCACTTACCCAAACCGTCTACGTAGGCTACACAGGGGATCTTTGTCTTTGTGTTCAGTATGTAATAGGTCTCCATGACCCCTTCAGCAACTAAAGGCCGCTTCGTTCACCACATGAATCGAATTAGGACAAACGAATCGGTAAAAAATAAAACCCTCCACCACCCAACATAGGCCAACAAATGAAATTGTCCCACGGCGTACGAGCGGTGAACGCGCCACCATTTGTGATTGTTTCGGCTCGCCCACCGGTGAATGAAAGAACAATTCTCATAACCAAATATCGCGATTAAATTCGCGACCTTTCGCTGGAAATTGCGCCGAGCACCTTCAGGACAAGAGCCAGGTGGTCGGAGATAAATCCTGGAAGTCAGAAATGTGGCGTGCCCCCGCTCACCATTGGCTGGGGGCGGTCATAAGATTACCAACCAATCGGCATCGGCGCTTACACTTGTGTGGCAGTTACAAAAAAAAATCCACATTTCCTGCCCAGTGCGGCTGTCGGGGTGGGGGCGGGGGGAAACTCTTAATTTGCAGGGCAGGTGCAGTTGGGTGGCCCAAGGGGACTTTTAATTTGTAAGTGGCCACTCATTGCCCTTGTGCTTAACGAATGCAGAACACGTGTAGGATTCCGCAGTTAATTGACTTCCCTTGGTTTAACCCAAGTGGCGCTGGTCATATCACGTGCGTTCATCGCAGCGTGGCTGATATTACGATCGGTCCTAAAATGTATTTCTTAATGTTACGTTCACCATTCACTGTTAATCACCGTCATCAACTTGGCAATTAGCGTTTTACCCCAACAATAACTATGCTGTTCTGTCCCATGGAGTCAATTCCCAACCCTTTCTGTGCGGAATTTGTACGTTCTCCCCCTGTTCTGCAGAGTGTGAGCGAGTGCGTGTGTGGAGCTCACTCCGTGAGGGAATCGAACCCAGGAACTTCTTGATCTGACTCAAGAGGCACGCTGCCACCACCCTGCCCGTGGACATCATTAAAGAGGCGGGACCAGTTGTTGGAACAAAAAAAACGAATTAGTCGAGCAGTTCCCTAAACGTTTACACATACATAAGAATGCAATAATGGGATACAGCCTCAATACAGGCCACCATTCCCTCCAGAGGAGCTCCCTGGAGCTGTCTTTAGTGCAGACCCTTCTGCCAGCAGTGGCGAGGGGAAGGCATTGCAGGACTGTGCCTCTCCCCTCCCCCTCCCCACCCTTCCCCCCCTGGCTTGTGCCTTCATTCCAGCTGAGGACGTTCATTCCGTCCGTCCCTTTTTTGGGAAACTCTGGGGGTGAAAGGTCGAGTCACCGTGTGACCCCGGGTAAAGACAGCTGTCGCGTGTGTGTGTGCGCGTGAGTGTGAGACAGTGTGTGTGTGTGTTTAGGTGGGGGAGTGGTACCATAGTGGGTAGCGCATTGCGCTACAAACGGCTTTGATTCCCGCTCACAACCAACACCTCCGATTTGCACGGTTGGCTACGTACGGTGCGAAAGAAGTTCAACATACTTGTATTCAGTGACGATTATCTGAACCTGTCCTGGGCCTCCTCTAGGTGGACTCAACCTTAAAATGATTGCCTAGTGCGGTGTAGTGCTGGCCACCCATCCCTTCGTGCACCATGCCGGCCTTCATAGGTGCTCGCTAACAGCACTTGCCCCGCCAGTCTGTCAAGGCCACACGGGGGATCTTTGTCACAGAGCGAGGCTGTGTGCCACCATGCTCGTTCCTTCGCCAACACGCGGCATTCTCGGTTCTCTCGCCGGTGCAACAATCGCCCAAACTCGATTGTCATCTTTCTTCGACTTTACTATGAACGGTGTCCTGAGCCAACTTGCGTTACCAGGAATTTTATTTAAGTAACTTCGATTATGTTTCAGCACTGTTTATGATTTATTCTCTAACGCAGTTGTTTTTGCCCCGTTTCTATTTTGGCTTTTGCTCAGATTTTTTTTACGTTTGCTACATTGCCATAACTTTATTTGTTTTGCTTTTCTCGTGACGGTCGGTGACCCCAGGGCGCTCTGTGCGAACCAGGCTCCTCTGCCGCTCTCTTTCGCGTGCGCTCGCCTGGTCACACAGAAGTGACGCTTGAAGCGAAAACCCGTCTCTCGCTCGTTGTCGCACGACCCACGGAGCCGCGCTCGCGTGCCGCGTTTAAAACGATCGTGCGCCGCCACCGCCGTGTGGAAATCATCCATCACTCAATTACCCGCGTTGGGCACGGCTAGCCCGCAATGGTGGGGGGAGCAGCAGAGTGAGCAGGAGAGGGAAAAGGAGGCGGAGGGAAGTGGGCAGGGTGAGCGCTGGGAAAAATCCAGTCCGGATCAATTTTCCCGTGTGTTGTGGAACGCGGATGGAGTCCAATCCAACTCTTTGTTGCCGCGCTACGAATCCGGCGAGCTGGGTTCAGATCCCTGACACGGCTCGCATCGGTGTCGAGTCGTTTTTGAACATGCAGCTCTCCGGCGTGGGTTGGCGGTCTTGCCGCATGATGTTTGGTGCGAAGTCCGACGTTTAGCTGCACGCACTCGGGGGGAGCTTCAGGGATTGAAACGTTGGACGTGGTGCTGAACGATGGACGATGCAACCCGACAGCACGTCGTGACGGCGGTGATGATGGTGTTCCCACATGTTTAAAGTGTTTGAAATGTATGTCCATGAGTGTGTGCGTGCGTATGTGCGTGCACATAGCCCAGCACAAGCGCCGTGGTGACGTCACCACCACTTAGTGGCGAATGGCGGTTGTTGTTGTTGGTTGTTGTTGTTGCGTATCTTTGTTTTTGCGGGAGAGCGATGGCGCAGCGGTTCGCGCGCTTGTCACCAACCCGGCAACCTGAGTTCGATTCGCACTCGTGGTCAAAACCAGTGATGAAAACCTAAACCGGTGCTGGGCCTCCCCTAGGTCGACTCAGCCATAAACGAGTACCTGGTGCGGTGTATATAAATCAGCACTGAGGAGACTAAAGCGGCCAGGTGTGGTGCTGGCCACCCACCCCCTCGCGTGTGCTGCTCGCTAACAGCACTTGTCCCACCGGTCTGTTAAGGTTATACGGGGGGGGGGGATCTTTGTCTGTGCAGTGGACGGACGAGTGAGCCGAGAGCTCGCCTACACACGGCTCAAGATCGGCGAAGACGCCGGAACGAGTCCACAGATGCTCATTCAGACGGGGCGTTCGGGTGGCGGTGGCATCGGAGCTGAGAAGGCCAGGCAACAGTTGACCCCCGAGGGGTTGAGGCAGCACCTGGTGTCGGCTCAGGCGGCCAGTCGCACGCAGGTCACCCTCTACGGGAAGTGAGTGCCGCCATCGTCTTTGTCATCATCATCATCATCAACGTCGTGATCATCACCCAAACCTTCACCGTCGTGATTATTGTCATCGCCATCATGGGTGCCATCGTCATCGTCGCCATCATTGTCACCGTCATCGCTGTCTTTGTAATGTCAGTGTTATCGTCATCATCATCATCAGCTATTGGTTGTTATTGTTGGTTGTTGTTGTTGATTGTGGTTGGTGGTGGTTGGTTGTTGTCGGCAGGAGTTTCCGTTATTGTTGATGGTGGTGGAGTTATTGTTGAACGTTGTTGTTGGTCGTTGATATTTGTAGTTGGTAGGTGTTGTCGGCTGTTATATATGATTGTTGACTCTTCCCCACGCCACTCCATCTCCCCGTGGTGCGTCCCAGGGAGTGGACTCTAGACAAGCTCTGCTTCAAGAGCGGCATACCCATTTTCGAGATATCCCTCGTGGACCAGGTGAGTCCATGCGTGACGTCCCATTCCCCGTCGCTCCCAGGCTCCTTCTCCACCCTCCCACAACCACGTTTCACCCTTTTCTCCCAGCATCCACAGCCCTTTTCGACTCTGCCCGAGCCGATACCACCGAGATGTCTGGGTTCAAATCCGAGTCGGGGCTGCCCCCATGTCCCATAGATGCCATTGGTGACCCATAGACTCACGGGGAACTGGGATCTCCAGTCTAGTGGTGGAGTGGGGAGGTGGGTGACGTGGCCGGTGGTGGCACGTTTGCTGCTCCTTACAGATATTCGTGGTTGATTTGAACCCGGGGACCACCCTGGTTAATACCGCGGTGCATTACCCATTAATAGTACCATACATAATCTGCTTTGCTTCATAGTAGGTGTTACGAATCTCATAACGGTAGTCACAAAAAAAGTAGGGCATCTCGTGCTGGCTTCAATGTCTGGGTGCTACAGTCCGGATGTGACAGCAGCGGAGATAGAGGTACGAGGCCTTGTGGAGTTTGTAATCGTTTCTGTGTTGTCGTCTTTTTCTCCGTGTGTCCACGTGTCCATTGCCCGCTCGCCTGCCCGCCTGCCCATCTGCCCGTTCTGGAGCTGGTGGAACGTCTATTCCCGTGCGTGGTCATAACGCCACTCGACTGCTTCTGGGACGGAGCTAAACTACAAGAAGGCTTCATATATCTGCCGTAAGTCTTTACCACTACTTTTTTTATTTAAGTGTTCAGTGTTGGTCGAGACGTGTGGATCAGAAGGATTGACAGTGAGGATGGAGAAGATAGAGATGATGGAAGGGGAAGAGGAGGATGTAGGTGGGCGGGTGACTCAGAGGTCAGAGACGCTGAGAGGTCGGAGCCGGCACCGCTGAGTTCCTGTGCAGCGAGTTTGTGGTCTCGTCAACTCGTCAGCCCGCACTGAGCGGCCAGCGTGGTGTGGGGAGGCCCTCATCCAGCAGTGGAGGGACACGGGGGGCCGTGTGCGTCAAGATTTTTTTTTTTTACATTGCGGTTGCCGAGCACAGGGCCCAAGGGCCCGAAACGTCGAGCGGCTAGCAACAAGTAGCACCATTGGGGTTGTAATGGCTAAGAGAGGAACACGTTCCTTGTGTTGAGCAAGGTGCTGTTATTATTTTAAGAGCTTGGGGGGAAGAGATGACGATGGGAGGGAGCTCTTCCAGAGTGGATCAGTGCGAGAGAAGAAGCAGAGAGAGAAGTGGGGTGACGTGTAGTGAGTGAGTGGGTGGGTGAGCGAGTGGGTTCATTGGTGAGTGAGTGAGTTGGTGAGTGTGTTGTTGTGACCTGTGGTCTGTTGAGTGGGTGGGTGAGTGAGTGGGTTAGTTGGTGAGTGAGTGAGTGAGTTGGTGAGTATGTTGTTGTGACCTGTGGTGTGTTGAGTGGGCGGGTGAGTGAGTGGGTTAGTTGGTGAGTGAGTGAGTTGGTGAGTGTGTTGCTGTGACCTGCAGCGTGGTGGTTGAACGCGGCGTGTGACGGAATCGACGAGTGAAGTTCGTGGGAGCGGTAACCGCGGTGGTAGCGGTAGAAGGGTGACAGGGAGGTGAGTGACGGCTGGTGGCAGTGCTCCCCCCCTCCCCGTGTGCAGGTCCCGCCTTCGGTGCGTGCGAGTGGCCACGACCCCAGGTGTCGCCGACACACAGTCCGGCGACTCTGCCGATATCAAGACGTCAGCGTGCGGCCGGTTGGACACCGAAACAAAACCGTGGTGGGGGGTGGACGAAGGGGCGGCACGGAGTGAGGGGGGGGGGGGGAGCGGCAGGATTTTAACGAGCAAGCAAGCTCAGTGCTCCTATGTGGGTGGCGGCGGTCTGCAAACTCCGGGGTGGACCAAGCTTCGGGGGATAGCGCGCAGGGTGGGATGGGCAGAGAGAGAGAGAGGAGAGAGCGAGCGGGAGGATGAGAGAGGCAGGGAGAGCGGGAGAGAGGCAGGGAGTGCGGCGGAGCGAGATGGAGCGGAGGAGGAGGAGGACGCCGGGAGAGAGAGAGAGAGAGAGCGAGAAGAAGGGGCTGTGAGATTTACAAGCAGCGCTGCCCGTGAGAAACTTGGACACCAGCGCTGGCTTTGTCACCCGGATCTGCAGCTGGGACCGCCGGGACAATGGGTGGCCAAATTTGGTAGCGGCTGGGCCGTAAATACACTTACCCCAGCGCTCATTCTTGTGCTAATGGGGGCGGCTTGCTATGGGGGGGCGGTTTGTGACTCCGTGTCCGTGCAGAGCTCTCGACGAGACGGGAGAGAATGAAGACCGCCGTGTTTGGGGGGGGGGGCGGGGGTGGGGGAGGGGCGGGGGGGGTTGAGTGTTGAGGGCGGAGGAGAGTCGATGGCGAGAGTGGCGGTGGTGGTGGGGGGGCGATCTGGAAATTGCAGGACAGCTGTCTCACCCAGCGCTCGGCACCACCACCGCCGCCAAACTATCATCACCGCCACCAAACCACCATCATCCCCACCATCATCACCGCCACTGCCACAACTGCCATAACCGGCCACCAGCACCACCGTGAGTGTGTGAGAGGGAGTGAGAGAGAAAGGGAGCTGTCAGGGCATTCTGGGTAAGTTGCTGTGGGCCAAGGGATGGGATGGCTGAAAGAATCTGTCTGGTTTGGTGGATCATACCAACGGTGAGGGACCCAGGTGGTGGCAGTACAGCAAGTCGGTCTGCGAAACAGCAGCAGCAGCGCCGTGCTGCGTGTTCTCCGGGCTCTCCTGTTCCCTCCCAGGCTCTCGCGGCCAGCAGGGATTCATGGCCAAACATCCCAGCGTAGTAGAAGCAGTAGCACCCTCGTGAAATACAAGTCTTGAGGCTCTCTGCAGCGCAGCTTCCCCGTGTACACAGATAACACAGCTGTTTCACAAGAATACATCCAACATCAAAATGAATAAGGGCATTTCCTCGCTTAGAGCCCGTTGTCACTCTGCTGCTGGATGAAGGCCTCCACAGGACGTGCCCCATTATGTGGGGGGTTGCTTGACCATACTTCACCACGCTGGACAGTCAATTCCGTCCTCTTCCTCTCCTAGGTTGGCTCAGCCTTAAATTAGTGCCTGACGCCGTGTTTCAATTCAGAAGCGGGGAGACAAAGGCGGTCGGGCACACGATGGGTGTGGTGTGATTAGCACCACGTCCCTCGTGTGCCGTACCAGGCTTTAACAGCTGCTCGCTAACAGCACTTACTCCGACAGCATGTACGGCTTAATGGGGTCTTTGTGCATGTGTGCGCGTGTGTGTGCATGCGTGCTGTGAGTGTGCGCGTGCGTGTGTGAGTGTGCGCTGTGCGTGCGTGTGTTCACCACATGTGCATTCACATTAAGCCCCAAACACAAAAAACCAGGGTTTCTTAACTGAAGTACAATTAAGCACAAAGACACAAACAAGACAAATATCCCCCGTGTAATATTTTACAGACTGTTGGGCCAAATGCGGTTAGCGAGCATCTATGAAGGCCGACACGGCATATGAGGGGGTGGGTGGTCAGCACCATGCCAGGCCACCTTTGCCTCCCCAGTGCTGCTGTTTTCACATTGCACCAGGTACTCATTTAATACTGAGTCAACCTAGGGGAGGCCCACGCCAGTATTGGTCATGTCTGAGAATCGAACTCAGGTCGCCAAGTTCGTGGTGCGGTGCGCTATCCACTACGCTACGGTTCCCCACTACACACATGTATTATGTGCACAGAATAACAAACACATGCACGCACACACGCACATTCACGTACACACACAGACGCACTCCCACAACAACAACAACAACCGCTATTTGCCAATAAGTGACGGCGACGCCACGGAAATTCCTGTGCCAGGCTAGGAGCACGCACGCACGCACATGCAGAGCAACTGACACACACACAAGACACGTGCGCACACCGTACGCACATGCACGCGTACACCAAACACACACACACATTACACACACGCCAAAACAGACACACACACAGCCCACTCACACTTCCTCTCCTCTCTTCCTACTCCTCATCTCCTCCTCCACTGCTCTCCTCCTCCTCCTCTCCTCCCCGCTCGACACACGCAGCCTTTGAAATGGTTTTTGGTAACCCAGGCCACCCCCTGAGGGGAATTTGGAATGTGGACTGCCACGAGAGAGACCCCTACCCTACCCCGCATGCACAAGGCACACACGGGTGTGCGCACACCCGTACGCACACGTGCACACACTTGCATGGCCGCACTCGCACGCGTATACACACGTGCGAGTACGGACACACACGCGCACGCAGCATAAACTGCGTAAACAAAGATCCCCCATGTGGCCTGAACGAGACTGTTGGGGCACACACACTCGCATACGCACTCGCGCGCACACAATTACGTACACACATGCGTGCACACATTTACTCACACACACGCGCGCTCACGGCTCTCTAGCCCCTGTCCACGGAAGCCGGCTGTGCGTGCGTCTGTGGGTGTGTTTGTGAGTCTGTGAGTATGTTGGGAGTGGTGGTGCAGTGGTTAGCACACTGCACTACAAACCCCTTCAGCCTAAAGTGAACATGTATAGTTTGTGAGTTGGTGTGTGTGTGTGTGTTTAATGGCGAGCGATAGCGTAGTTGTTAGCGCCCTGCGCTATCAACCCGATTCCCGGTAGAGAGACTAAGGTGGCCGGGCGTGGTGCTGGCCGCCCAGCCATCGTGTGCCGTGCCGGCCTTCATCGGTGCTACTTGCCAACGGCACTTGCCCCAACAGTCGTTAAAGGCTACACGGGGAATATTTGTATTTTTGCGTGGAGCGGTGACACAGCGATTGGCACGATGCACTACGGACCCGACAAACCCGAGTTCGCACATGCCCGATTTTGTCTGGAGCGGCGGTGCAGTGGTTAGCACAGTGCACTACGAACCCGGCGATCTGAGTTCAACTCCGAGCCACGGGCAACACAAAGCGGCGAGTGACATCGTAATTCATCCTGGGTCCTCCCTCACGAGTTCACTCCACGTGTCAACCTCGCCTGAGGGTACAGAGGAAGGGGGCGGGTGAGGAGTAGGGTGAGGAGGAGGAGGAGAAGATAGGACAGGAGGGAGACAGGTGGCTGGGCATTGCTCCGGTCAACACGGTACTCCGCGTCTGCGCCATGGTGGCTACGCTGCTGCTGCTGCTGCTGCACATGACTGCTGCCTGTAATCCGGCGCTGTGGAGGCAGCAGCAGCAGCAGCAGGAGTTGGTGGATCACCAAACAGATGTGGCTGTGAAACCACCTTCCCATGGGCGTCAGGGAGTTGCCCTACCCCTGGCTCGCCACGAGAAGGCAGTGTAGCAAGTGGACTGATCGCCATCTGTTTCTATCTGTACGGGGACAGAGTGTAGCCCCCTCGCGAAGGCGTGGGGTTTTCTCCGGGTGCTCCGGTTTCCTCCAACATGAATAATAAATGCGACTCATCATGAATTGGCTGAAAACATCTTACAAAACAAAACCCAGTGCGACAGCAGCAGCAGCAGCAGCAGCGAGACCCTCCTGAAAACAAAGAGTGCATCGACTCAGCGTGGCTCTCTTGTATCTGCAGCGGTCAACCGGTGATCCGGTGGACGAACCTGGACCCCGAGCGGCTGCTGGAGACGCTGGGCCGCGTGCTCGACGTGAGCCAGCTGGAGCGGCTGCTGCACCGCGCCGGCGTCGGCCGGGCCTACATGGACAGGCCTTGCCTGGAGCCCTCGGACCCCGACTGCCCTGACACGGCGCCCAACAAACACTCGGGACAGGTGAGGAGGGTGAGGAGGGTGAGGAGGAGGATGAATAGGAGGTTGGTAATGAGGTTGAGGAGGAAGAAGAGGCAGTGTCTGTATACGAGTCTCGCTCATGTAGGAGGCAGGAGAAATATTGACATAATGCGTGCGTCTCTGTGTGCGTGCATCTCTGCGCGTGTGTCCCAGGCGCCCGACGTGGCGGGCGAGCTCTCGGGCGGCTGCTACGGCTTCTCGCGGCGCTACATGCACTGGCAGGAGGAGCTCATCGTCGGCGGCGCCGCACGCAACGGCTCTCACCTTCTCACGTGAGTCGTGCGCCGCCCGGCGGGGCGCCCAGATTCGTCCTGCGGTGCCACCGTGCTCGCCGTAGAGACGCCACTCGCCGGCCGCCTCGCTCACGGTGAACGTTGGGGCATGCTTGTGACCTCATCGGCTGTCGCGGTCCGAGTTTGCAGATCACTGAATTGGGATTACACATCGGCAGCAGTCGTTGTCCCTACCTTGTACCACACAGGGACAGCTGCTCCTGGGGGTGCCCTTTCAAAATGCATTGAGATGCGATGTACCATTGCAGCTCGGCGTGATCCTCTGCCCTCTGTGACCTGCCCTCTACCCACAGCGCCCAGGCCCTGCAAACGGTGTTCCACCTGATGAGCGCCGATCAGCTGTTCCGCACGTTCAAAGGCGACTACGAGATGCACGACGTCAACTGGAACCGGGAGAAAGCGGCCGCCGTGCTCGACGCCTGGCAGCGCAAGTTTGTGCAGGTGAGGGCAAGTTGCCCACTCGCCCGCTCGCTCGCCCGCACTCTCGACCGCCAGCCACTCGATCACCCACCTGCTAGCTCTTTCGCTTGCTTGATCATGCACCCGCTCACTCACACTGCCACTCGCTCGATTGCCCACCCGCTCGCTCGCTGTGTGGCTCACTCGATTGCCCACTCACCCGCTCACTTAGGCACTCGCCTGCGTGCTCGTTCTATCACGCGCTATTTCACTCGCCCGCTCGCTCCCTCATTCGCTAACTCGTCCACCTGCCCATCCTCCTCCTGCTGCCCTCTCCACCACGTGTAGCCAGCTCGTGTTGTTATTTTGGCGGATGCCCAAATTGTCGTCCGCATGCGCTCCATCATCACGATCGACACGGCGCGGTGACCACGCCGGGGCCCAGCAATTGTGCACTCGCCGATCGTTGCAGAGGTTTGTGGTTAACATCCGGCAAGGCCACCCTGGTTAATATTGCGGTGGCGTGGTATTAACCGTAAAAATACTATCACGCGCTGTCTGCTTCACTCACAGTGAAGATTCCATGATGGTACAATTCTTCCAGATTTGAAAAATCATAAAAATTTTGATCCATGGGGATCACACGCAGCAGCAGCAGTAGCACGAGCAGCAATCATCAGCCCCTGCAGTAAAAAAATTGGCATGACCCTCCTGAAAAAGAATCATGAGGCTTTCCTTGGGTAAACAAGCATCATCCTACTCATGATATTGATCGCCGCCGTGTGCGTCCGTCGTTATAACCGCCGTCTTTCTGCGGTGATGGTTGTGGTGGTGGCGTGCGGTTGGGGGGGGGCCGTGTGGTGCAGGTGGTGCAGCAGAGCGTGCCCCCCAACTCGAGCCACGTCGTCAGCTCCTTCACACAGACGACGCTCAAAGACATCCTCCGCTCCTTCTCCAGCGTGAGCGCCGTGCGCATCGCCGGGGGCTACCTGCTCATGGTGAGAGGCCTGGGGTCGTGCGGGGGTCACTGAGGCGGGGGTCACGGGGGGGGGGGGGGAGTCTGCGGAGAGGTCACCGAGGGGTCGCGCGGAGGTCACCGGGCGGGACACACACTGAGCAGTCACGGAGATGAGGGGGAATGGTCACAGGGGTCACCGAGTGGGTCACCGAGGGGGTCATGGAGACGGGGCAAGGTCACGAAGGGTCTCGACCCCAAGATTTCCCGTCGCAGTGGGAGCTCCCCTGCTCCCTAACCCCTGACCCCTGACCCGTCACTGTGGGACATTGGACACCCCCCAATGAGAACACCTGTTCCTCGTGTGTGTACGTGTCTGTGTGTCTGTGTGACGGTGTCGTCATGTGCACGTGTGTGTGTAGATGGAGTGCTTGTTCACGATGATGCTGTGCAGTGGTTAGCGCGCGCCGCACTACAAACCCGGCAACCCGAGTTCGATGCGCGCTTACGGCCAAACATTGGCGACGAATATCTGAACCCGTCCCGGGCCTCCCCTAGGTCAACTCAGCCTGAAATGTGTACCCTTGTGCCGTGCCGGCCTTCGTAGAATCTTCTCGCCAACGGCGCTTGCGCCCAACATTCGGTGAAGGCTGTTGGGGGGGGGATTTTTGTCGTCTGTGTAGATGGTGTACTCGTGCATGACCATGCTGCGCTGGGAGTGCGGCCGCTCCCAGGGCGCCGTGGGCCTCGCCGGTGTTCTGCTCGTCGCTCTGTCCGTAGCCTCCGGCCTCGGGCTCTGCTCGCTCATCGGCATCTCCTTCAACGCTGCCACCACGCAGGTGCGGACGGGGGGGGGGCCGCGGGGGATTCCACGGGGGTGCCACGGGGGTACCAAGCGGGGTATTAGAGGGTATAGCCCCACTGCTGAAGGGCTGTTGCCCGAAACGTCGCCTTAATTTTTTGTTCCCGTGAAGGCCACAGTGGTATTTGCACCGAGTGTGCCGAGTTTTGTTATTTGTGCTTTTGCACCACTGCCAACCACAGCAGCAGCAGCAGCAGGTCATTGTCACATTGGGACGGATCGTTACGTGGCATAACCCGCAACTCTGCTGGGCGGTGGTGGCGGCGGCGACTAAACACGTGGCTGCCTGTGATCCAGCGCTGCGCAGGCAGCAGCGAGGATTGGTGCATCGCACACAGATGTTGCTGTCAAACGCCCTTGCCGTGGGCGTCGGGGAGGAGTCGTACCCTGGCTCGCTCGGAGAAGGCAGTGTAGGAAAGTGGACGAATCGCCATCTGTTTCCATCTGTATGTGGGAGGTAGAGCGTTGCCCTCTCGTCCTTGGCGTGGCTTTTCTCCGAGTGCTCCGCTTTCCTCCCACACGTGTACAGCGTAACAAACACAACTCGTCATCATGAATTGGCTAAAAGCATCTTACAAAAACTAAATTAGGAGCAGCAGGACCTTCATGAAAAAGTGTGGTTCTCCTGGATAAATTAGCTAATCAATTAATGAATTTACGATGTATCTCTATTGACTCGTAATATCGTCTGCGAATACTGTCCATGGTTCTGATCGGGGTCGCGTGTCCCTCCACCCCCGCCCCACCCCCCCGCCACACCCCAACCTCCCGACCCCCCCCCCCCCGTGCCCCCCCCCCCCCCCGCCTGCAGGTGCTGCCCTTCCTGGCGCTGGGGATCGGGGTAGATGACGTCTTCTTGCTGGCGCACTGCTTCACTGAGATGGGACAGCAAACGAACATTCCGCTCGAGGTGCCAGCCGCGCTCACACAAAGACAAAGGTCCCCCCTACTGCCCCAAGAGGCTGTCGAGGCAGGGGCTGTTCGCGAGCACCTATGCGTGGCCAGCACCGTGTCGGGCCTGCCGTCTTTGTTTCCCCACTGGTGATGGTTTACGCACCGCACCGGGTTATCATTCGAGGCTGAGTCAACCTAGGGCGGTCCCAGGACCTATGATGGCTGTGAGCGGAGATCGAAATCGGGTCCGCCAGGGTTTCGTAGCGCGGTGCCCTAAGCAGTGCGCCACCGCTCCCCACAGAGATCCCCCATAACGTCTTGAACAGACTGTCGGGCCCATCGCTCCCCGCAACACTCTCGCGCACACACACGCACGCACACAGTCGCACACACGCACGCACACGCACGCACACACGCGCAGAGACACACACAGCCTTGTTGTTGACGTTGTTGCCGGTGGTTGCAGCGGAGGACGGGCGAGTGCTTGAAGCGCACGGGCACCGGCGTGGCGCTCACCTCCATCAACAACATGGCCGCCTTCTTCATGGCAGCGCTCATCCCCATCCCGGCTCTGCGCGCCTTCTCCCTGCAGGTATGGCCAGCACCATCAGCACCATCGACACCATCATCACCATTGACACCATCAGCACCATCAGCACCATCAGCACCATCGACACCATCAGCACCATTGACACCATCAGCACCATCAGCACCATCAGCACCATCGACACCATCAGCACCATCATCACCATCAGCACCATCATCACCATCAGCACCATCAGCACCATCATCACCATCGACACCATCATCACCATCAACACCATCAGCACCATCAGCACCATCGACACCATCAGCACCATCATCACCATCAGCACCATCATCACCATCACCACCATCGACACCATCAGCACCATCAGCACCATCAGCACCATCATCACCATCAGCACCATCAGCACCATCAGCACCATCGACACCATCATCACCATCAGCACCATCAGCACCATCATCACCATCGACACCATCAGCACCATCAGCACCATCATCACCATCATCACCATCAGCATCATCAGCACCATCGACACCATCAGCACCATCAGCACCATCATCACCATCATCACCATCAGCACCATCAGCACCATCATCACCATTGACACCATCATCACCATCAACACCATCAGCACCATCAGCACCATCGACACCATCAGCACCATCATCACCATCAGCACCATCACCACCATCGACACCATCAGCACCATCAGCATCATCAGCACCATCACCACCATCAGCACCATCAGCACCATCATCACCATCAGCATCATCAGCACCATCGACACCATCAGCACCATCAGCACCATCATCACCATCAGCACCATCAGCACCATCATCACCATTGACACCATCATCACCATCAACACCATCAGCACCATCAGCACCATCGACACCATCAGCACCATCATCACCATCAGCACCATCATCACCACCATCGACACCATCAGCACCATCATCACCATCAGCACCATCATCACCACCATCGACACCATCAGCACCATCAGCACCATCAGCACCATTGCACCATCAGCACCATTAGACCATCGGTACCAGCAGCAGCATCGGCACCATGAGTCCCTACGGCACCATCGGTACCAGCAGCACCAGCAGCAGCAACATCGGCGTCATCAGCAGTGTCGTCATTTACAGCAGCATCAATGTCATTGGGAGCATACTATTTGGTTCTTTCGGTAAAGTCATGTAGGTAGAAATAAAATAAAATAAATCACGACGTTTTGACCGAAAGAACCAAAGGGTATGGATTCCTGCAGTCATGAAAGCTTCAAATCTAGATTCATTGGGAGCAGCTGAAGCGTCATGAACAGCATCATCAGCATTGTCATCTTCATCCTAGCCCTGAATTTCCGAACCGGTCCTTGGTGTGTAAACATCGCCACTCGGGAGACAAAGGCGGCTGGGCATGGTGCTGGCCACGCCAGCCCCTCGTGTGCCGTGCCGGCCTTCATAGGTGCAGCAATAGCACTTGCCCTAACAAGTCTGTTCAGGCTATACGGGGGATCTTTGCCCTGTGAGCGAGTCAGAGGTGTATGGGTTAGTGGATGACTTCATCATACCATAAAACAAAAACCGTTGTACGGTTAAACTTTGTTTTTTATGCTAACCAACTCTTACAACGGGACTACAGTTTGAAAGTTTACTTGGGGTTTATAATCTTCAACGATGGGATGCGAGCTACAGGAAAAGGAATACGCCCTTCGAATGAACGGTGCTTATGATGGCACACACACACACAGATCCACACTCACACGCACACAGATCCACACTCAGACGCACTCACCCTCTCTAGCAATGGTTTAGGGAAACGGAAGACACTGAAGGGAGAAGAGAGGAACAGAAGAAAGTTCATGAGAGGGGAATTAAAAGTGAGGAAAGTCTGTAGCTTTCCGTGATAGCATCTGATGCCCAAATCCACCCGTCGATGGGAGCCGTGGCCCAACTTCCTGATGGGGCAGGACCCTCCCGGAAATGCACCTTGAGGCTCAGCAAGGGTCTTCTGGGAATGTGAACGAGTTTCTTATTCATGGCATTTCGCCGGCTCAGGCTGACGCGGCACTTCCTGCTCCATTTCACCTGGGCCAACACCTCCACGATCCACTCCACGATCCACTCCACGATTCGTTCCATGGTCCGCTCCGCGGTCCACTCCATAATCCACTCCACAGTTTGCTCCACGATCCGTTCCGCAATCCTTCCTTGCAGTGCTGTTTATTGCTGGCGGCTTGGCGTTTTTGGCAACCGTGATAAAAAAAAAACGATACTGAAAAGGATTTGCGAATCCTTTGCAATTACCCATCAGTCGTCAGTGCCGTCCCGTGTTCTGCTGCGCCGTTCTGCATCAAACAAACAAACAACCTCTTCGCTTCAGAAACCACCCGGAAATTCCACATTCCCATGGCCAGGCGGGCTGTGTTGTCGAAAGACGTGCAAGTCGTGCGAACCGTACTCCTGCGGCCCCCGTCCCGATGTCCAGAGCCGCGGCCTCGCGAGCCACATTGTTTATAAAAGCGGTCGTCCCTCCAGAGCCCACCTACATTCCCTGGGCCCCCACCGCCCTCCTGTCAGCCCCCCCCCCCTCCTGTCAGCCACCCATGTGGCTCCGTGGGTGGCCCTGAATGTGGGGGAGTGGAGGGGGGTAAGGGAGGGGAGGAAGGGGCCGTGGGGGATTCTGTGAGTGGACCTAGCCCAGCCGGTCTGGCATGTAGCGTGTCTCCCACTCACCTCTCACCGCACACAGATCCACACACCGCTCACTGCTCACCACAGGCGGATATCCACACATAGCGGAAAGTGCCCGCTCCCTCGCTCGACTGCTCATTGGCCCGCTCGCTTGCTCACCCAAATGCTCACTCACTCACTCGCTCACCCACCCCTCCCTCTCTCGCTCACTCACTCATCCCACCCCCTCCCTCGCTCACCCACCCACCCCCTCCCTCTCTCGCTCGCTCACTCACCCACCCCACCCCCTCCCTCTCTAGCTCACTCACTCACTCGCTCACCCACCCCCTCCCTCGCTCGCTCACCCACCCACCCCCTACCTCGCTCGCTCACCCACCCACTCACTCACCCACCCCCTCCCTCCCTCTCTCGCTCACTCACCCACCCACTCACCCACCCCCTCCCTCGCTCGCTCACCCACCCCCTCCCTCTCTCGCTCACTCACTCACCCACCCCCTCCCTCACTCACCCACCCACCCCTCCCTCCCTCTCTCGCTCACTCACCCACTCACTCACCCACCCCCTCCCTCCCTCTCTCGCTCACTCACCCACCCACTCACCCACCCCCTCCCTCACTCACCCACCCCTCCCTCCCTCCCTCTCTCACTCACTCACCCACCCACCCCCTCCCTCGCTCGCTCAAAGCCGGTTTGTTATTTCTTTGCAGCAGATCGTTTTTGTTTTGTGGAAACGGAGGCACAGATGGGAAGGAGGGAGGGAGGAACTCACAGAGTAGACTGCTGCGTGTGTGTGCTGCTGCGCCTCTATCGTGTGTGTGTGTGCTGCTGTGCCTCTACGGTGTGTGTGTGCTGATGTGTGTGTGCTGTGCCTCTACGGTGTGGGTGTGTGCTGCTGTGTGTGTGTGCTGTGCCTCACGGTGTGTGTGTGTGTGCTGCTGTGTGTGTGTGTGCTGTGCCTCTACGGTGTGGGTGTGTGCTGTGTGTGTGTGCTGTGCCCTCACGGTGTGTGTGTGTATGCTGTGTGTGTGTGCTGTGTGTGTGTGTGCTGTGTGTGTGGCTGTGTGTGTGTGCTGTGTGTGTGTGTGCTGCTGTGTGTGGTGTGTGTGTGCTGTGTGTGTGCTGTGGGCTGTGTGTGTGCTGTGTGTGTGTGCTGTGTATGTGCTGCTGTGTGTGTGTGCTGCTGTGCCTCTACCGTGTGTGTGTGTGTGCTGCTGTGTGTGTGTGTGCTGTGTGTGTGTGCTGTGCCCTCACGGTGTGTGTGTGTGCTGTTGTGCCTTTACCGTGTGTGTGTGTGCTGTGCCTCTACGGTGTGGGTGTGTGTGTTGCTGTGCCCTCATGGCGTGTGTGTGTGCTGTGCCTCACGGTGTGTGTGTGTGTGTGCTGTGCCCTCATGGTGTGTGTGGGTGACTTCCCGTGTGCGATGCTCGGGTTGCCACCAGGCATGTTGGGTCAGGGGTAAATAAAACAAATAAAAATGTCCACGTGGTTGCGTGTTGCCTTGTGCTGTGGTGCGGAAAGGTGCGGTGCTGTGTGGTGGTACGGTATGGTGCGGTGCTGTGTGGTGGTGCGGTTGTGTGGTGGTGCTGTGTGGTGGTGCAGCGTGGTGCGGTGCTGTGTGGTGGTGCTGTGTGGTGGTGCGGTGTGGTGCGGTATGGTGCGGTGCTGTGTGGTGGTGCGGCGTGGTGCGGTGATGGGGTTGTGTGGTGGTACGGTGCTGTGTGGTGATGGGGTTGTGCGATGGTGCGGTTTGGCCGTCTGGTGGCGCAGGCTGCTGTGGTGGTGGTCTTCAACTTTGCCATGGTTCTGCTCATCTTCCCGTCCATCCTGAGCCTGGACCTGCAGCGCCGCGAGGAGGGGCGACTCGACCTGCTGTGCTGCTTCTACAGGTTCACTGCCACGCCGCACTACCACGCTGCACTACCACGCCGCACTACCATACAGCACTACCACACAGCACTAGCACGCAGCGCTAGCACGCGGTGCCCACACTACCATACACTACCACGCCGCACTGCCACGCCGCACTGCCACGCCGCACTGCCACGCCGCACTACCACACAGCGCTAGCACGCAGCGTTACCACGCAGTCCCCGCACTACCACACAGCGCTACCACGCTGCACTACCACACAGTGGCCACACTACCAGACAGCTCTACCACACAGCACTACCACACAGCGCTACCACGCAGCGCTACCAAGCAGTGCCCACACTACCACACAGCGCTACCACACAGCGCTAGCACGCAGCACTACCACGCAATCCCCGCACTACCACGCAGCGCTAGCACGCACCCTGTGGTGTCAGTGCGGTGTGTGTGCACGAGGGTGGAGCAGTTGTGACGCTCGCGCCTCACGTCAGGAAGCACCTGGGTCTAACAGCACTTGCCTCAACCGTCGTCTAAAGGCTATACGGGAGGCCTTTGTCTATATTCTCCTCTGCACGGGTTTCCTCCAGGTTCTACGATTTGCTCCCATGGCTAAAACAAAGTGACACGCAATGTCAGCGGCATTGACCACAACAACATCCCCAATGCTGGAACATCGCCTACACACGACCCAACTGGGATCGCACAGCGCAGTAGCAGCAGCAGCGGCCCCTGTACTGGCAGGACCCTCCTGGGTAAACAAGCAGAGCGATGATAATGACAATTATAATAACGACTGTAACTATTGTGCGTGTCGTGTGTGCGCTGTGTGCGCTGCGTGTGTGCTCTGCGTGTGTGCTCTGCGTGTGTGCGCTGCGTGTGTGCGCTGCGTGTGTTGCGTGTGTGTTGCGTGTGCTGTGTGTGCCGCGTGTGCGCTGCGTGTCACCGCAGTCCGAGCGCGATGCGGCCCTCGCGGCCGCAGGCGCCGGCGTTCCGCGAGTTGGCCGCCGCCGCGGCTGCCGTGGCCGCAGGGGGCGACGTGTCCCCACCGCCGCCCTACAGCAGCCCCACCGGATTCCCCGAAACCCACATCACCATGCACTCCACCGTGGAGGTGAGCGCACACTCCCGCGCCGCCACGTCGCCCACCCGCCCTGCCAGGGGGTCCGCACCGCGGGCGGACTGCGTCGAGTCGTTTTGGGATCTTTTGGGACCGTGTGGAATCGTTCAGAACCGTTCGGTGCGGCGACGCACCTCGAAGCGACGCCCTGACCCTCGCCCCGACCGTCACCCTCGCCGCGACCCAGGTGCAGTACGACCCCGCGAGCCAGCAGTGCGTGACCACCGTTCGCCCGTGCACCGAGGTCACGTTCCGGCCGCGCTCGCTCGGCCCGGAGCCGTCCGTCGCTCTGGCGTCGACATCGTCGCTGCCGTCGTCGTCCGGCACGGTCGTCGTGCCGGAGTCGGCGAGCTCCACGCGCGACCTCCTCGCCGACCACGGCGCGACCACGGCGTACGGGACGGACGAAGGCGACGACGGCGGCGGCGGCGACGGCGATGGCGGTGGCGGGGGCGGGCCGTGGGCAGGGTGGCCGGCCGGCTGGGGGGCGAGCGAGCGGCCTCCCCCTGCGTGGACGCGTTGGAGCCTGCAGGAGTTTGCCCGGACGCGGTATGCGCCCTGGCTGCTGCTGCGCAGGACGAAGGTGAGAGCGGCGAGTGAGCGGTGCGTGAGCAGTGCGTGAGCGGTGCGTGAGCGGTGAGTGAGCAATGAGCGGGCGGTGCGCGGGCGGTGAGCGGGCGGTGCGCGGGCGGTGAGCGGGCGGTGCGCGGGCGGTGAGCGGGCGCTGCGCAGGCGCTGAGCGGGCGCTGAGCGGGCGCTGAGCGGGCGCTGAGCGGGCGCTGCGCGGGCGCTGAGCGGGCGCTGAGCGGGCGCTGAGCGGGCGGTGCGCGGGCGCTGAGCGGGCGCTGAGCGGGCGCTGAGCGGGCGCTGAGCGGGCGCTGAGCGGGCGCTGAGCGGGCGCTGAGCGGGCGCTGAGCGGGCGCTGAGCGGGCGCTGAGCGGTGCCACTACCCCCCGCCCCCCCCCAGGTGGCCGTGCTGAGCGCGTTCATGTGCCTGCTGGCGCTGTGCCTGTATGGCACGACGCGCGTGCGCGACGGCCTCGGCCTGGCCGACGTGGTCCCGCGCGGCACGCGCGAGCACGCCTTCCTCACGGCGCAGGCGGCCTACTTTTCGGTGTACGGGGCCTACCTGGTCACCACCGAGGGCGTGGACTACCCCCGTGCCCAGGAGAGCCTCTACCGGCTGCACGACGCCCTGCACGGCCTCCCCTACACGCTGCGGGGCCCCGACGGCGCCCTGCCCCGCACCTGGCTTCACCACTTCCGCGACTGGCTGCAGGGTGAGTGCGCCGCTCGCCACCGTCGCGCGGCTCGCCTCGGCAAATAGCCAGCGTGGTGCCGGCGAGCGTCCGGAGTTCGTAAGGGTGACCGTACCGCCCTGTCCCCCGTATAGCCTTAAACACACCGTTGGGGCAAGTGCTGTTAGCGAGTAGCACCTATGAAGGCCGGCACGGCGCACGAGAGGGTGGATGGCCGGCACCACGCCCACCCCAGTGGCGATGTTTACAAACGGCACCAGGTAATCATTTGAGGCCGGGGGGAGGCCCAGGACCGGTTCAGATAATCATCGGTGTTTACCCTGAGCGGGAATCAAACCCGTGTCGCCGGGTTCTTAGTGCGGCACGCTAACCGCTGCACCACCGCTCCCCACCCCCTCCACCCACCTCCCATCCACCCCCCCCCCCCGCCCGCCACGCCGCACCCCCCAGGGCTGCAGGTGGCATTCGACGAGGACTGGCGATCCGGCCGCATCCGCCGGGAAGAGTTCCGTAACGGCTCCGACGACGGCGTGCTGGCGTACATGCTGCTCATCCAGACGGGCGACGCCAGCGCGCCCTTCAACTACGCCCAGGTATGGCCACGACGACCACGGCCACAACCACGGCGCCGATGCCAACGCCGAGGACCAGAATCGGAAACCGCGTCTCTGGGGAGAGAATCGCCCGGGTCGCGCCACGCGTCGCGTCGACGACGGCGTTTGTCCCTCCGGGGGTCGTTCATTTTGCGGCGCGCAAGCGGTCGGGGCAAAACGCGGTCGGGGCATTCTGCACGCGGTCCTTTTCGTGGCGGACTTCTGCGTGTGCGAGTTTTCCTGTCCGGGACGTTACTCCCGGAGAGAACCGTCCACGTTGATCGGCGACAAGCCCCCCGTGGTAAAAGGGCTCCCCGCTCTCCCCGCCGCCCCCGTGACGTCGCTACGCGCGACGCTCTTTCTCTCCTGTGACGCCGCGTGTCACGCTCGGCCCATCGTGGGAAACTGTCCCGGGAGGGCGCCTACCGGGGAGACGGAGCGGCAATGTTAGTCCGGGCGGACTCGCGAAATCGCGGGAGGTCGCGCGCGAGCGTCGCGCCATTCGTCTCCCTTGGCTCGACAGTTGCAGAGCCGGCGGCTGGTGAACGACCGGGGCCTGGTGGACGTCGACGGCTTCTACACCTTCCTCACGGCCTGGGTGACCAACGACCCGCTGGCCTACGCCGCCTCGCAGGCCAACCTGCGGCCCGAGCCCCCCGAGTGGCTCTTCAGCCGCTTCAACACCGCGCCCGACGTCATGCGCAGTGAGTGCCGTCGTCGTCGTCACCGTCGGTCACACAACAACAACAGTCGGCGTCACCGCTCGCGCCAGGCTAGGTGCGCCTCGAGGCTGTCACGCGACGTGTGTCGCTGGCAGGACAGACCCAGGTGCCATGGGTTGACTGGCTGAGATGACTGGCAGACGCACCGCACACTCGCTTGCAACCTCTCGCCAACCGAAGCCAGTGTGCCGCTCTGTCAATGTCACGGTGTGCTGGTGTGGCGGGGGCAGTTTGCCGGTGTGCCACTGTGCTGGCGTGTCGCTCAGTCGGTGTACCGGTGTGTCGGCATGTCCCTGTGCCCCTGTGTCGCGGTGCCGGTGTGTCGGTGTGTCGCTCCGTCGGTCTGTCGTTGTGCCGCTGTGCCGCTGTGCCGGCGGGTTGCTGACTGAGTGGCGTGCGGCTGCTCCTCATTAGAGGCGGTGAAACCGCAACGCGTAAACGCCGGCACCTTGAGGAAGCGAGCGCCGTGCGGCCGCACACCGGCCCAAACGGGATTACTCCGGGGGGGGCGCGGCGGGAGGGAGGGAGTGGATGGTGGGGGTGGAGGTGGGGGCGGAGAGAGAGGGAGCCAGGGAGAAAACGGTTTAGGGGGCAGGGAAGAGCGAGGAGGTTAGGGAGATGGCGGGGGTGCGTGGTGTGCTTTGTGTGCCTGTGTGTCTGTGTGCGTGCGTGTCAGTGTGTGTGTAGGTCAGTGTGTGTGGGGAGCCGTGGTGCAGCCGTTAGTGCATTGTGTTGCGAACCTGGCGACCAAAGTTCGATTTCCCGCTCACGGTCAAAGAATATCAAACCCGGTCCTGGGCGTCCTCTAGGTCGACTCAGCCTTAATTGAGCGCCGAGTATGATGCGTAAAATATCAGCATTGGGGAGACAAAGGCGGCCGGATGTGGAGCTGGCCACACCACCCCGCTTATAGGTGTGCCGTGCTGGCCTACGTGGGTCCACGCCAACAGCACTTTCCCCGACGGCCAGTTAAAGGCTACACGGGGGATCTTTGTTTTTGTCTGTGTGGGGTAGCTGGCTGGTTCTGGTGGGGGTTCACCGTCTCCGAGAGAGGGAGTGGGGAGGGAGTGTGGGGGTAGTGGGGCGGGGTGGCGAGTGTGTGCGTGCGTGGCACCGGGCCAGCCACCATGCGAAATTTACTGCACAAATTACAAACAGGTTTCGCCGGTGGTGCCGTTGAGGGCGCTGGCGATGTGGGAAAGGCCACCGGCTGAGAGGGTGCCAGCGCTCCCCCCCCACCCCCACTGATGCCCCCCCCCCACCACCTATCCCCCCCACCCAGCCAAGCCAGAGAACCTTTCCGAGGGCACTGCTGCGATCGTAGAGAAAGTTCATCGTCCGTCGCTCAATATTTCACGCCGGATTATTGGGTAGAGGGGCCGTATTGATATCCATCCAGCAGTGGATGGTTCGTGATCCATAATAAAACCAGCCAAGGTTGCGATTTCAAGTCCTGGGATCGATAGAATGAGCACCATTTTGTGGAGTTGTCAAAACAGTGACTGTCCTCTGGATAGACTTGCCTCGGCCATATGACTGTGGAATTCCCACCACTGGCTCTGCCATGAGCACCGAGGCCACGATGCTCGTTTGAGTAGCAGCGGGAACTCGTTGAATTGCTGAGCTGCGTTACTCAAACGATGTCTATTCACGTTTATTCAGCTCTGTTTACTCAAGTGACGTTCATCGAGGTCTGTGAGCTTAACTCCAAGCGTCTCTTTGTAAAGCCTTCGGGTTTCTTTTGCCAGTTTGTGGGTCTCGATGAGAGTTGCTGGTGACTGGCTCAGACACATCAACTCGCTACACTTGAGACCCCGGTTCAATCACAGGCAGTGGCTGTAACCGGATTGGAACCCTGAATCTCAGCTGTGCCAGCTCAGCGCCCTGACCTCTCAGCCACTTCCTTCCCTTATTCTTTTTTCCCTCCACGTAAAAATATCAATTTTGTTTACACATCCCAGCATCCACCACGACCTTCTGGCAGCGCATCCGATCGGCCGCATCTGTACAACACAAGCGGAGTCGGGCTCGCTTGACCCAACGCTCCTGACGGCCGCCCCCCCCACCGTCTTCTCTCCTCCGCTCCTCGTCTCTCCCCCCCGACCCTCCTCCCCCAGTCAAGCCGGCGGAGCGGATCGAGTTTGCTCAGCTGCCCTTCTACCTGGCGGGGCTGTCGGAGTCGGCCGACCACGTGCGCGCCATCGAGCGCGTGCGCGCCGTCTGCGAGAGCTTCGCCGCCGGCGGGCTGCCCAGCTACCCGGCCGGGTACCCCTTCCTCTTCTGGGAGCAGTACGTGGGCCTGCGCCACTGGCTGCTGCTGGCGCTCAGCGTGGGGCTGGCCTGCACCTTCCTCGTGTGTGCCCTCCTGCTGCTCAACCCCTGGACCGCTGGGCTGCTGGTGAGAGGGCGATGATGGTGGTGGTGATGGTGGTGGCGGCGGTGGTGATGGTGGTGGTGGTGATGGTGATGGTGGTGATGGTGGTGGCGGTGATGGTGGTGGTGATGGTGGTGGTGGCGGTGGTGGAGATGGTGGCGGTGGTGGTGATGGTGGCGGTGGTGGTGATGGTGGCGGTGGTGGTGATGGTGGCGGTGGTGGTGATGGTGATGGTGGTGGTGGCGGTGGTGTTGATGGTGGTGGCGGTGATGGTGGTGGTGGCGGTGGTGTTGATGGTGGTGGCGGTGGTGGTGATGGTGGTGGTGGTGGTGATGGTGGCGGTGGTGGTGATGGTGGCGGTGGTGGTGATGGTGGCGGTGGTGGTGATGGTGGCGGTGGTGGTGATGGTGATGGTGGTGGTGGCGGTGGTGTTGATGGTGGTGGCGGTGATGGTGGTGGTGGTCGGTGGTGTTGATGGTGGTGGCGGTGGTGGTGATGGTGGCGGTGGTGGTGATGGTGGCGGTGGTGGTGATGGTGGCGGTGGTGGTGATGGTGATGGTGGTGGTGGCGGTGGTGTTGATGGTGGTGGCGGTGATGGTGGCGGTGGTGGTGATGGTGGTGGTGGTGATGGTGGTGGTGGCGGTGGTGTTGATGGTGGTGGCGGTGGTGGTGATGGTGGTGGTGGCGGTGGCGGTGATGTGGCGGTGGTGGTGATGGTGGCGGTGGTGGTGATGGTGTTGGTGGCGGCGGCGGTGGTGATGGTGGTGGCGGTGGTGATGGTGATGGTGGAGGTGGTGGTGATGGTGGCGGTGGGGAGCGGTGGTGTAGCGGTTAGCGCGCTGCGCTACGAACCTGGTGAACCGGGTTCGGTTCCTGCTCACGACCAACACCGGTGATGATTATCTGAACCGGTACTGGGCCTCCTCTAGGTCGACTCAGCCTCAAATGAGTACCTGGTGCGATGTGTAAACATCGCCACTAGGGAGACAAAGGCAGTCGGGCGTGGTGTTGGCCACCCACCCTCTCGTGTGCCGTACCGGCCTTTATAGATGCTCACTAACAGCACTTGCCCCTACAGTCTGTTAAGGCTGTACGGGGGATCTTTGTCTTTGATGGTGGCGGTGATGGTGTTGGTTGATGCTGGCGGCGGTTGCGGCGGTGCCTTTACCTTAAGGGTAGAACATCTTCATCTTACTTTCCGTGTCTCTTTCTGATCGTCGGCCTGTCCGTGCGTCTTTGACTCCATGTCTCTGTCCGTCAGTCTTTCTGTGCGTCTCTCTCCGTCCGTGTGTCTTCTCTTCCTCGTGCCTCACAGCCTCGCCGCCTTGCTGCGTAGAGTTTGTATTTTCCTCCAGATTGGAATCGTGATCCTGCATTGCGATTCGTTACTCGGTTAAAACTAAGCGCTCACCCAATTGTTCCGGGTTTTCGGACAGCCTCAGTGCCTACAAAGACAAAGATCCCCCATATAGGCTTTAGCTGTTGGGGCAAGTGCTGTGAGCAAGAACCCATAAGGGCTGGCACGGCACGCTTATGAGGAGGTTGGTGGCCAGCACCACGCCCGGCCGCCTCCCAAGTGCTGACGTTTAATTCACTTAAAACCAGGTACTCGGTTAAAGGCTGAGTCGACCTAGGGGAGACCCAAGACCGATGCAGATATCCGCCGTCACCGATGTTGGCCGTGAGCGGGCATGGAACTCCGTTGCTGGGTTCATAGCACAGTGCACTAACCACTTTGCCACCGCTCCTCGCACACACACACACACGCGTACGGACACGCGCACATCGAGCGGGTAATGTGTGTGTGCCACACTGGGGGGGGGGGGGGGGGGTGGTTGGAGGAGGTGGGGAGGGGTTGGTGTGGGGAGGCATGCCACATGCATGTGCTCACACTTCACGCGTCGTACTAATGCTCGCACGCACGCACGTGCGCACGCATACCACGCACGCGCACGCTAGTTAACTTGCTCACACACCAACAACAGCCGTCATTCACGTCACAACAGCACGTGTGCCAGGCTAGGTGCGCTTGTTGCACACGCGCACGTGCGCACACACATACACACCTACCATGTCCTCCTCCTCCACACGTTTGTTTCCTGTCCGTACAGCTCCGTCACACGAATGCATTCTTGAGATTCCTGCGTGAAACGCACACACACGCACGCACGTGTGCGTGCGTGCGTGTGCGTGCGTGTGTGTGTGCGTGTCTCTGTGGGTGAGTGGTGGCACGGCGGTTAGCGCACCGCATTACCTACGAAACCGGGCGACCCGAGTTCGATTCCCGTTTTCAGCCAACGTTGACCTCGGGGGAGGCCCATGACCTGTTCAGATAATCGTCACCGGCGTTGGCCGTGAGCGGGATTCGAACTCGGGTCGCCGGGTTCGTAGCGCAGTGCGCTAACCAGTGCCACTGATGCCCAGAAGCACCTACACATGCGCACCTACACACGCGCACCTACACACGCCGGATTATGAGATCCACCCCAAGCGTGTGCTAGGGAGAGAGCGTCTTCCCATGCCGACTCTTCCCACTAGTTTTGGCCAGCGATCTTTACGTGTCCATCGACAACCGTTCGTACCATAGGTGACCTCTGGGAGGTCAATTAATACATTTTTCCTTCGCCAATTAATTTATACACGCATGGATGGAAGAGTGGAATGGTAACGCTTCGCGTGAAAACATCCGAATAGTTCTGAGCGCAAATGTCGCCCGTTTCACATTTTGTGCATTCCGATGGCTGGCGTGCGTGAGTGCGTGAGTGCGTGTGTGTGCGTGTGTGTGCGTGTGTGTGCGCGTGTGTGTGCGTGTGTGCGTGTTGTGAACGACAGACACGTACTTAGGCTCTCGTGGCTCCGCGATCGCAGGGAGTCGAGTAACGTTCGTGACTCCGCGGGGCTTCCCTCCTCGCCCAACCCCCCCCCCCGCCTACCCCTTCCGCTGAACGAGGAACTTCTTCTCCGTTCTCGCGAGCGCCACTCCACGCTTTCCCTGCGGGTCCCTCGTGGCGGTGGCACGGCGGGGGGGGGGGGGGGTTCAGTGGCTCACGTGGGAGAGAGTGCACGTGTGTGGGTGTACGCGTGCGTGTGTGCATGTGTGCGCATGCGTACGTGTGAGGGTGCGCACGCGTATAAACGTGTGAGCGTGAGCGTACACACGCGTATAAACGTGTGAGCGTGCGCGTGTGTACGTGTCAGCGTGCGCGTGCATGTGTGTGTGTGCACGTGCGTATGTGTGAGTGCGTGTGTGTGAGCTTGTGCGCATGCGTGTGCGTGCGTGTGTGTTGGGAAAACTCCCTTATGGAATGTGTTAGAACACAGAGGCGTGAAATTGGATTGTGACGGGACTGTGTGGGGAGAAGACGAAGAGGGATGGAATGGCGTGCATGCGTGTGTGCGTGTGCGTGTGCGTGCGTGTGTGCGTGCGTGTGTGTGTGTCTGTATGACTGGGCAAAGTTCTGTTCGTGAGCACCCATCACAAAACACGAGGTGGTGCTGTAACCAGCAACACCCACAGCCACCTTTGTCTCCCCAATGCTGATTTTTTTTTCTTTCCGCACTGCGCCACGTGCTCATTAACTGTTGAACCGACCTGGAGAAGGCCCCGGACCGGTTGCGATAATCTTGGCCGGTGTTGGCTGGTGAACGTGAATTGAACTCGGGTCGCCGGGGTCGAAGCGCAGTGCGCTAGCCACCACTCCCCTATTAGGGCTGATCTCAGTCTTTGTGAATGTATATTTATGTCTGTGCTCTGTGTGTGATGTTATGCTGTCTCTTCTGCGCGCATGTTGAACTCTCGCCCTCTCCCAACCAATACCAATACCCGCGTCATTCGCCACTAAGTGACGGTGACGTCACCACGGCGACTGTGCCAGGCCAGGTGCACGTGAAGTGTCGAAGGCTCGCTGACAGGAGGTGTTTTTTGTTGTTGTTTGTCCTCTCCCAAAACACGCCCAACACACACGCACACCCAACCACACACCCAACCACACACACACCCAACCACACACACCCAACCACACACACCCAACCACACACACCCAACCACACACACACAACACACACACACCCAACCACACACGCACCCCCAACCACACACACCCAACCACACACACACACCCAACCACACACACCCAACCACAAACCTATACACGAACGCACACACCCACAATGACACGACCACACGCTCACACAGGTGGCGGTGCTGGCGACGATGACGGTGGAGCTCTTCGGGATGATGGGCCTCATGGGCATTCAGCTGAGCGCCGTTCCCGTCATCAACCTCGTCGCCTTCGTCGGCATGGGCGTGGAGTTCACGATGCACGTCACGCTGGTGAGGTGGGGGGGGGGGGCGGAGGCTCGTCAGGTGACGTGACATCGTGTAAACGTAGCGATGCGTTGTCGATGATAACATTGACGACGATGGTGATGATGACTGTGACGACGACGATGTTGACAATGATGATAATGATGATGTTGACAATGATGGTGACGATGTTGACAATGATGATGACGATGTTGACTGATGATGATGATAATGATGATGACAATGATGATAATGATGATGACTATGACGATGTTGACAATGATGATAATGACGATGACCACAATGATGACGACGATGTTGATAATGATGAGAACGGTGACGACGACGATGACGACGACGATGACGACGATGTTGACAATAATGATAATGATGATGACGGTGACGACGACGATGATGGCTATGATGACAATGTTGATGAAATTGATGACGACGATGATGACGACGACGATGACGTCGTACGGTCGACGGAGAGCCGCCGCCGCTCACCCGCACCATCTCCGTCACTCCGCTGTGCCGCCCCCGCCACCGCCCAGGGCTTCCTGACGGCGACGGGCGACCGCGACAGCCGGGCGGTGCGCTCGCTGCAGCACATGCTGGCGCCCGTGCTGGACGGCGCCGTCTCCACGCTCTTGGGACTCGTCATGCTCGTCGGCTCCGAGTTCGACTTCATCGTCTGGTGAGCGAGCGTTGCGTAGTGACTGTGCCGACTGTAGTGACTGTGCTGTGAGTCGCAATCTGAAGTTGGTGAGTTCAGATTCCGGGTGATCGTGGCGGAGGTGACGGTTGCGGTGATGGCGATTGTGGCGGTGGTGACGGTATTGGTGGCGGTAGTTCTGGTGATGAGTCCACTTGCTGTACCGCCTTCTCCTGGCTAGCCGTGGCATGGCTCCCCCTTGGCACCGATGGGAAGGGAGTTTCACAGCGTTCGTGCGAAGATCCGACAACCCTCGCTGCTGCTGCCTCCACAGCGCTGGGTTACAGCTGCCACGTGCGTGGCCGCCACCAGCGGTGGTGGTGATGTGCCGGTGGTGTTGGTATCGAGCTGTAGTGGCGGGGATGATGGCCGCCGGTTGTTTGGGCTGACCCTGAGACGGGGGGGGGGGGGGGGGGGGGTGAGATGGGAGACTGAGCAGAGAATCGCCATAAACAGTGAGGCTGTGTAAACACTGCCCCAGCGTGTTTATAGACACGTGCTCGTGCACATACACACACGCGAGTGTAATGTATACACACACACACACGTGCGTCGTTCGCCTGTGTGTGTGTGTGTGTGCGGCTGCGCGGGGTGCTGTGTCTGCGTATTTTTTTCAAAAAATAGTTGCTGAGCAGAGGCTCTAAACGTCAAGCAGCCGGCAACAAACAGCACTCTCAAGAGTTTGAATAGCTAACAGTGGAACACGTCTGTTGAATGGAGCAAGGTTACTATTGGTCGAAGAGCTTGGGGGGGGGGGGGGAAAGAGACGATGATGACGACGATGACAACAATGGGGGGAGGGAATTCCAGAGTGAAGCCGTGCGAGGGAAGAAGCCGAGAGAGAGGAGTGTGTGTGTGTGTGTGTAGGGGGAGCGGTGGCGCAGCGGTTAGGGCGCTACACTCCAAACCCAGTTAGCAGAGTTCGATTCCCGCTCACAAACAACACCGCTGGCGATTACCTGAACGGTTCCTGGGCTCTACCCCGAGTGGACACGGCCTCAAACGAGCACCCGGCGCGATGCGCAAACGTCGCCCCTGCGGAGACAAAGGCGGCCGAGCGCGGTGCTGGCCACCCATCCCCCTCGTGCGCCGTTAAGTCCTTCGTCGGCGGCTGCTGCTCGCTGACGGCGGCACTAGCCCCGACAGCCTGTGGAGGCTACCGGGGGGATCTTTGTCCGTTTGCGTGCGACCGCACGCACACGGGGGGACGCGTCTCCCCCCACGGTGTTTGTGTAAATTCAACGAAAATAAACACGTGGCCCCGGCGGCGGCGCTCGCCACGGACCCCCCCTCGTTCCCTCTCTCGCCCGAGCCCAGACTCCCTGGGATAATAAACAACGTGGCCTCGCGGCCCCCACAGACAAATAAACACACAGCGGCTCTGCGCCGGAGGAGGAGGACAAGGCACGGCCGCCACGGCTGCCGTGGTGGTGGAGGCGGTGGCGGCGGTAACGGTGCAGCTGCACGTTGCACCGACAACACGGAGTTCTCCCGCTCTCTTTTTGTGCCGGCGGTGGGCACGAGCGAGCAGTTGCGGGGCTGCGCCTTTGGCCCGCGAGAGAGGGGCTGCCGGTGAGAGAGGGGCCCTAATAGTGCGGTGAGACTTGGCCTTTGTTGGGTGGGAGAGCCGGGAGGGGGGGGCGGGAGAGACCCCCTCCTCACCCCCTCCCTCCATTGGATGTTTATGTGACCCCCCCGGGTCAGCCTGCATTGGGCAGGTCAAAGGGCAGAGGGCGCATTTGGGTGGTGGGAAGAGCGAGAGAGAGGGCGGGGGTGGAGAGACGGAGGTGGGGGAAGGGGAGTGATTGAGAGAGGGGGGGGAGCAGGGGTAGGGGAAAGAGGAGGGGGTGGAAAGCGAGTGATTGAGAGAGAAGAGGAGAGAGAAGATAATTCACTTGTTCATCCAGGAGAGCGAAGCTGAGTCATAGGACTCTTTTTCAGGAGGGTCCTGCTGCTGTTGCATTGGGTTATTTATTTTCAGCCAGTGAATAACGAGTTGTGTTTATTATTGTACACGTGTGGAAGGAAACCGGAGCACCTGGAGAAAACCCCACGCCTTGCGCAAGGGGGCAACGCTCTATCCCCAGCGGACAGATGGAAACAGATTGACATTAGTCCACTTGCTATACTGCCTTCTGGCGAGCCAGGGGTACGGCCCTTCTTCGATGCTCACGGGAAGAGATATTTCACAGCCCATCTGTGAGTGATCTACCAACCCTCGCTGCTGCCTCCACAGCGCTGGATCGCAGCGGCCATGTGCACAAGCGTGGCCACCGCTGCTTGGCGGAGGAGGCAGGGTGAGGAGAGAAAGCGGAAGAGGCAGGGGTCATGAGGGATGAGAGGGTGAGAGAGAGAAATGGTGAGGAGTGGGGAGGCAGAGGGAGAGAGGAATAGAGAGCGAAGGAGTGAGGAGGCCGGATCGCGTTACTCTGCACACAAACATCCCGCTGGTGCTGGAGAGAAGGCCCTGCCGCCAGGCCGTGCCGCCAGGCCCTGCCGCCAGGCCGTGCCGCCAGGCCGTGCCGCCAGGCCGGCCGGTTGTCAGCTCCCCGTATTTACCGAGACCTCAGGGGCCCGGTCGTTAACGGCGACCACGACGATGAATTCGTATCTCGCGACGTCCGTGCGAAGTGCAGTGTTGCACATGGGGGGACGCGGGTGGAGGCCACAGACGAGGGAAGGCAGCCAGAACCGATTGCCCAAGTTCTGTGGTTCTCTACTGGGTTACGGTCCCAAAAAAAATTCCCGCTGGCCGGCAACAAGCAGCACGATTTTGGAGCATCACGGAGCAGAGTTTCTCACACGTTGGTTGAATGGAGCCATTCAACCAACGTGTGAGAAACTCTGAATGGAGCCAAGGTGATAGCGGCCACGCGGGTCCAGTGGCCGTGCGTCCGATCTCCCGCAGCAGTAGAGTGAACGCGTTCACCGCGGTCAAGTCGATCGGTCGGTCGCGTGCGTCGGGGTAAAGTGTGGGTACTCCCGTCTCTGGCAAGATGACTTGCCAACGTGGCGAGAGTCGCCCAGATATCCTCTAATCCTACCACTGACTCAACCTAACTCTTCACTGCTATCCCGTCACCCTACTCCTGACCCCTGACCCTTACCTCTAACCCCAAACAAAAGCACTTGCGCGGAGCCACTCCGTCAGTAACCCTCTTCCTCTCCACGTGTCTCCATCTCCTCCTTGTGTCTCTCTCTGTCTCTCTGTCTCTCTCTTTGTCTCCGTCACGCTCATCTCTGGACAGAGGGCCTGCAAGGACAGGTAAATGGCACTCGCCGTGGGTTTGTGTCGGCAAATGCTCTCACGTCCCTGGGTCTCGTGTCCGTGACTCTTCCTCCTCGCTGCTCCATTTTGTTGTTTTTATTTCCCCCTGCGGCTTCCATTCAACACGGAACCTGCTTGTTTGCTGTGTGCTCCCTGTTTGCGACCTTCCTGTGTGCAGTCTGAGCGCACGTGCCAATGTGCCAGCCGCATGTGGCAAGGTGGGCACAATCCCGCCCTCGCAGCAACAAGGCCTCGGTTCGATTCCCAACTTGGGTGCCTTTCTGTCTGTAGTTTGTATTCTCTCCGCCCGTTCCGCGTGGGTTGCCTCCGGATTCTCCGGTTCCCTCCCATATCTAAAAAAGAACCACATGCACAGTGGCATTGGCGTTGACCAAAGCATCGAGCCACTGATAAATAACCTGCAAATTCCTGAGTTGGTATCATACATTGCAATATCACTCCCTACTGTGAATATCGGTCGGAAGCCTCCTTGAGACTCGGTGAGGCCTTCCCGGATGAAGAGGCATGATCGTCATCATAATGACTCTCTGTGTGCCTCGGAGCAGTCATGTTTTGGGGAGCGGTGGCACGGAGGTTAGCACACCACGCCACGAACCCGGCGATCCGAGTCCGGTTCTGCATGCTGCCAACATCGGTGACGATTTTCTGTGCCGGTCCTGGGCCTCGCCTAGTTCGACTCAGCCGTAAATGATTCTTCCGTATGCAAAAAGAACTTCGACACCGGGGAGACAAAGGCAGCCGGGCGTGGTGCTGGCCACACCGCCTATCCACAGGCGAGCCGTGTCGGCCTTAATAGGTGCTCGCCAACAGCACTTGCCCCTCGAGCCCGCGTGGGCCACACGGGGGACCTTTGTCTCACTGGAGGCTCTCTCCTGCAGGTACTTCTTCGCGGTGCTCACCATCATGACGGTGCTCGGTCTGCTCAACGGCATCGTGCTGCTCCCCGTGCTCCTCTCCATCGTGGGGCCTCCGCCGGAGGTGAGGCCACGCACGCCGGCTTGGGCCGCACTGAGGGCCCAGCCCGCTGGGGGGGACTGCCAGTCACTCACACAGTCCACCAATCACCCGTTCTCACACACAGTCCACCAATCACCCGTTCTCACACAGTTCTGTCTGTGTGTGCGCGTGCGTGCGCTTGTATGCATGTTGTGGCAAGTGGTAGTGTAGTGGTTGGCGTGGTGCACTACGAACCAACAGCCTGTTGAGGCTACTGGGGAGGGTCTTTGTACGTGTGTGCACACACATGAACACGTGTGTGCACACACATGAACTCGTGTGCACACACATGACCACGTGCGTGTACGTGTGCGCACGCGATCGCGTCCCCAGGTGACCCCAGCCGGCGGCGGCAGCCGTCTCCCGACGCCATCGCCGCAGCCGCCGCCCTACCCGGCGAGACGCGGGCGCGGCGGCGGTGACGCCGGCGGTGGGGGGAACTCCGGGCGGCGCCCACCGTTCCCTCCGTCGTACCCGGGGCTCGGCGCGCGGCACGCCCGCCCCGGCGAGTCGTCCGCCGCCACCACCACCGGCACCACCCCCTCCTCCTCCTCCATTACCGAGTCCTCCGACTCGGAGTGCTGCTCCGAGAGCGCCGCGTCGCTATCGACGTCGCCCGGCGACGGCGCCGCCGCCGGCGCCTCCTGCGCCGCGGGCAACGCTTGCCGGCACGGACACCGCGACCACAATCACCGCCACCACCGCCACCACCAGCAGCAGCAACAACAGCAGCAGCAGCAGCAGCAACATCGGTTGCATCAAGTGCGAGAGCATGATTATCACCACCAGCAGCAGCATCAGCAGAGGCCTCAAGCGGGGAGCGGTGGTGCACGCCGGGCGGGACACCCGCGCGTCACGGTGAGCCGCCCCGGGGCACGCGCCGCGACGCGCTCCGCTCCAGCTGCTTCGGTGTTGCTGTTTCCGTTTCGTGCGCGTTGGGTTCCGCTCGAGAGCTCCAGAGGGCGGGATGGGGTGGCACCAACCCGGGGTGCCGCAAATAGAGATCACGGCACAAACAACCGCAGAAACATCACAGCTCTGAGCACCAATTCCACGTTCCTATGGCAGCGGCTGACCTCACCTCTTGGCCACCCCGCATCTAAAGTTTCTCCAACCCCTTGCACGTTCCACATGTGTGCGCGCGTATTTCTGTGCGTGCGTGTGTGTACGTATTTACGTATGTACGTGCTTGTGTGTGTGAGGTAGTGTGTACAATACGAACCTGCCGATCCGGGTTCGATTCCCGCTCACGGCCAACACCGGTGACGATTATCTGAACCGGTTCTGGGCGTTCCCTAGGTCGACTCAGCCTCAAATTAGTACCTGGTGCGATGTGTAAACATCGCCACGAGGGAGACAAAGGCGGCCGGGCGTGGTGTTGGCCACCCACCCCTTCGTATGCCGTGCCGGCCTTCGTAGGTGCTTGTAAACAGCACTTGCCCCTACAGTCTGTTAAGGCTATACGGGGAATCTTTGTCTTTTGAGGTAGTGTGCACCTAGCATGGTCCAAGTGCCGTGGTGACGTCACTGCCACTTAGTGGTGATTGGCGGTTCTTGTGAGGTAGTGTAGCAATTAGTGTGCTGTAGCAACTAACGAATTCGATTCCCCCCTTATTATCTGAACCAGTCCTCGGGCCTACACTGTATGTATGAATCTTTGTCTTTTCTTTGCAGTTCGTGCAGCCTGCGGGACAGTGCCTGGAGATGGGCGCCATGCAGTACAGGGCCCGGCCTAGGCCAAGGCCTCAGCAGGAGCAGCAGCAGCAGCACGGCGGAGTGGCATCGGCGGACTGCACAACATCACTGCAGCAGCAGCAGCAGCAGCAGTGGGCGTCACAGCCGGCGCGCCTCCACGGCCGCTCGGGCGCGGACAGCACCGATTCGCCGCACGCCGGGCCCGGCCGCGGCAGGACTAGCGGCCACCAGGCTTGGGGCGAAGGCCGCGGCCGCCGCGCCGGGGCGACGGCGCCGGCCGGGCCGTTTGCCACCGTGACGGCCACCACGTCGGTGACGGTGGCGCTCTTGAGGCCGGGCGCGGGGCCGGCGGCGCCGGCAGCGCCGGCCGCGCCGGCCGCACGAGCGCCGGCACCTTTTGCGGGAGACCCCCACGTGCCCGCGTACGACGCCGGCGAGTGCGACTCGGACTGCGGGCGCCGCTGCCGCCACCACCACAAGTAGCGAGGAGGGGCCCCGCGCTCAAGTGACGCCGACCGTAGCAATAATTGTAACGTTGTGAATGAGAGTAAATATTATATCGGGGGCAGTGGGGGCGCTGTTTGTATATATTTTTATTTCACGCGAAATGTACAAATGTTGAAGTGGAGGGTTGGAGACGGGAGAGAGCGAGCCTCCAAGTAAATCACTGCCACTGAAGTCGACCGCCGCCGTGCCCGTAGCGCGTTGGCACGGTCGTTCGCTGAGCGACGCGTCGCCTGTCGCGCGCGCTGGGTTAGCGCTTGGTGACAAGAATTGTCGCTCGCTCGCCACGTGACGTCCGACGGATCATTTGCGACCGGTGGACACATTGGCGCGACGAATATTAAGTCGACAACTGCGTTTAAATGTATTTGTGTGTGTGTTGTTAATGTTTCACTGGCATGCTGCTACACAATATCAGCGCTGTAAAAAAAAAAACTTATTTTTTAGGTAAAAAAAAAGGAAAAAAATTTGGAGAAAAAAAAACCCGGAAACGATTTGATGCGACGCGTGTCGCAGTGGAAATGAAGGAATGTAAGCGGTGGTGGCGGCAGGGCAGTACAGACGTCGTACAGACGCTGTGTTCGGTCTCTGGCAGCTTGTTCAGTGTCGTGCGGTTCGGAGCCACGCGACGTTTATTTATCATTTTATAACTTTACAAGAACAGAATGTCGGCTTATTACCGCGATGATGATGATTATTACGAACGCTCGGACGCTCCACGGAGCGACGGCGAGGCCTCCGCTCGCGTCCGACGCTCGCCGAGCATGGAGCGTTTTTATTTTACATTTTTAACCCAGTGGATACGTCCCGTGTCGTAATTACGTGTTTCTATTTATACGCGGTCTCGTTATACGAAGGCAAAGATGCAGTATTGTGTTGGCATTTTCCGTTCGTTGGCCATTATTTTGTATTTCCGTCTCTGTCTGCGTCTCCCGGCATGGTGCTGCGTCCATCCGGCCACCGCACGCAGCCTCCCCTGCGGTCCCGTTCCCCTCTCGGCGCTATTTCCTGTTTACAGTTCCTCGCCCCACGGGGACCAGCGCCAGGTGGCGAGGCCCGTTCGCAACTCCTCGGACGGAATTGCATTTTGACCGAAAATCAAGCGGCGGCGGCGAGTAGTTAATCCCGTTCACGAGCATCCGCCCCCCCCCCCCCCTAAAAGACTGAACTGGGGGTTGTCACGAAAGCCCCCCCCCCTCCCGCCCACCCCTCCCACCCCCGGCACTTGCGTCCCGACCTCAAGTGGCACACTCCGGTTTTGCGAGGTTTCCGGGAAATCATTGATTTTGACGAGGGACCAGCGCTGGTTACAACGAAACGGGTCACCTGCACATGCCACCACTGCATTCTGGAAACCCCACGGTGAATTCTTTAAAGAAATTCCTTGAATCATGAGCCGCAAGCTGTGACCGAGACAGTCGGTAACTCGCGCCTCTTTCCCACCGTGCGACCGAGGCATGCCGGGGCCCTGCCAAACCGCCTTGCTCACTAGCGGCGCCGGCGGGCGCTCGCCCCAACGGAAATGATTGACTCTGCTCCCGGCCCTGCTTGGCCCCGAGCAGTATTCACAGACATCTGCTAAAGCCAGCGTCTAGGGGTCTGGATCCCCACTCCGCTTGGCAGATTTGCTCCCGGGAATTCCTCCCGTGCCGTGAGGGCCCCAACAACGCTGGCTCGGCTCAGATTTGGCAGTGGAAAAATCAGTCGGTAAAAGTTTGGCCTCCCTTTTCCTTAATGTCTGTGTTTCCACACCCCTCGCCCCCACCCGGGTCTCCGTCTCTCTGATTGGAATTTATAAAAACTATTGTCATGTGTTTGTAACGACGGGCATCGAGAAATGAACCGCACCTCGCCGTCTTGCCCCACTTCACGCGGCAGCTTCGTCCGCGCACGGCGCGTCGCTGCCAGGAGCGAGAGCGCAGCCAAAGGGCTTCCGTTCGGTGTCGTAACGATTCGCTGGGGGGGCCTGTTGACCGCTCGCGGTCTCCTCACGGAGTTTACGCCGTCGGCGATCATCGACGCGCGCATCGGGAAATCCCAGCATGCCGTGCGTGTCAAGATTGCCGCGCCGTCCAAATTGAGCAACGCCACGGTCGCAGCTCGCCGCCCGAGGAGGAGGTGGCGGCCGCTTGCGGAACGCGGAGCGTTGGTGATGATGTCATCCCGACACGCCAAGCATTCTGGCAATTCCTGATGGGTTTTGCCGTTGCAGCAAAATTAAATGTGCGTACGGCCAGCGCACACCCATCAAGACCACGGCAGCGACCAAAACTGCCACGTGAGTTGTGGTCACTTTAAGAGATGGCGGTCGGAGTGGCCCACGTTCTAATTAGAGAGCGAACCGCTAACCCGTCATCAAGCTATTGGGCCACGTCCGTCTGCCTTGGCTGCACTGTGCTGGTGGCAGAAGTTCCACATTCCTATGACGGGGACGGGGGATGGGACAGACTTGAAAGTAAACGGGGGGTGAGTTTGGTGAATTGGTGAAACCAAACGGAACCTCCGTTGTCGCGGTGTGAATTCTGTCACGGAGTGGGGGATAGTGGGGGGGGGGTAGCGTGCGGGTCAGGGGTCATACCCCCCCCCGCCACCACTGCATCAGAGGTCATGAACAATCCGGACTTGACACTAACCGAGATGCTACGGTAACATTATATATAATATAAATTATTTATAACGGAAGTCTTTATTTTTGTAGTGTACAGAGTAGTTCCTTTGTGACAGAAGTATATTTAAAAAAGATGTCTTATATAAACAATAGTCGACTTTTATTCCTATTGTTACTGACTTGGTTGATCGTAATTGTTCATTTCTGTAACGACTAAACCCCTTCGCTATGATAGCTACTGTCTGTACACAGGCGCGCGCACGGCTGCGTCATCACACCACCACGTCATCACACCACTACATCGTCACACTCCTGCATCGTCACACCACTACATCTTCACATTCCTGCGTCACACCACATCGTCACACATCCTGCGTCACACCGATGCATCGTCACACTCCTGCATCGTCACACTCCTGCGTCACACCGATGCATCGTCACACTCCTGCATCGTCACACCGATGCATCGTCACACTCCTGCATCGTCACACCGATGCATCATCACACTCCTGCTTCGTCACACTCCTGCATCGTCACACTCCTGCATCGTCACACCGATGCATCGTCACACTCCTGCATCGTCACACTCCTGCATCGTCACACCGATGCATCGTCACACTCCTGCATCGTCACACTCCTGCGTCACACCGATGCATCGTCACACTCCTGCATCGTCACACTCCTGCGTCACACCGATGCATCGTCACACTCCTGCATCGTCACACTCCTGCATCGTCACACTCCTGCGTCACACCGATGCATCGTCACACTCCTGCATCGTCACACTCCTGCGTCACACCGATGCATCGTCACACTCCTGCATCGTCACACTCCTGCATCGTCACACTCCTGCGTCACACCGATGCATCGTCACACTCCTACGTCACAGCGCTGCATCATCACACTCCTGCATCGTCACACTCCTGCGTCACAGCGCTGCATCATCACACTCCTGCTTCGTCACACTCCTGTATCGTCACACTCCTGCGTCACAGCGCTGCATCATCACACTCCTGCTTCGTCACACTCCTGCATCGTCACACTCCTGCGTCACAGCGCTGCATCATCACACTCCTGCATCGTCACACTCCTGCGTCACGCCGATGCATCGTCACACTCCTGCATCGTCACACCGATGCATCGTCACACTCCTGCATCGTCACACCGATGCATCGTCACACTCCTGCATCGTCACACTCCTGCATCATCACACTCCTGCTTCGTCACACTCCTGCATCGTCACACTCCTGCATCGTCACACCGATGCATCGTCACACTCCTGCATCGTCACACTCCTGCGTCACACCGATGCATCGTCACACTCCTGCATCGTCACACTCCTGCGTCACACCCATGCATCGTCACACTCCTGCATCGTCACACTCCTGCATCGTCACACTCCTGCGTCACACCGATGCATCGTCACACTCCTGCATCGTCACACTCCTGCGTCACACCGATGCATCGTCACACTCCTGCATCGTCACACTCCTGCATCGTCACACTCCTGCGTCACACCGATGCATCGTCACACTCCTGCGTCACAGCGCTGCATCATCACACTCCTGCTTCGTCACACTCCTGTATCATCACACTCCTGCGTCACAGCGCTGCATCATCACACTCCTGCATCGTCACACTTCCTGCGTCGTCACACTCCTGCATCATCACACTCCTGCATCGTCACACTCCTGCTTCGTCACACTCCTGCATCGTCACACTCCTGCGTCACAGCGCTGCATCATCACACTCCTGCATCGTCACACTCCTGCGTCGTCACACTCCTGCATCATCACACTCCTGCGTCACAGCGCTGCATCGTCACACTCCTGCATCATCACAATCCTGCATCGTCACACTCCTGCGTCACAGCGCTGCATCATCACACTCCTGCATCGTCACACTCCTGCATCGTCACACCGATGCATCATCACACTCCTGCATCGTCACACTCCTGCGTCACACCGATGCATCGTCACACCGTCGTGTCGTTGTGTCATGAAAGCGCCGTGCAGCTTGATACTCCGCGTGGCGCAGCGGCGCAGACGCCCCGCGTCAATTCCCAGTCCACCGCCCCTGCAAGCGGGGGGGGGGGGGGTCACTGTGCAAACAGAGGGGAGGTATGGCCCGTCTGCCGCGTGCCACGTGACCGGTCTAAGCGTGCTCACGTCTTCTGATGAACATCGAGCGCTCAGCGGCAGTCCGTGGCGACCGCTCAGGTCGACGATCTCCTGCCTCCGAGCGAGTCCGTGGGACGAGAGCACGTGTGCTTCCCTTGTCAGTACCACGTGATAATAATAACAACAACAACCACAATATTCGCCGTCGATCCCTCTACGTTTAACCTGGGCAGAGCCTCAAGACTGCAGGAGGTGTCCTGCCACATTGGGATGTCGGGAGTGTGCCCAGCGAGAACGATCGCCGAGTCTCGAGATTCTCCTGTCTGGGAGCGGCATCGTCGACAAGACAAGAAACGAAATAAATTCCCAATGTTTTGGCCCAGAGACGCTGCCTGCGTCTCTGGGCCAACCCTGGCGGTGTGTGCCCGGTGCCCTCGGGTTTCGCGAGGGCAAAGGCTCCGTCGTGCGGGCACAGGCGATGCCACCACCTCCTTCCCGCAGCGCGCAATCTGTTAAACTGCCAGGATCGCTCGAGAGTGCGGGCTCCCGCTGCCTTGGTGCTCATCTCCTGTTTACAGCCCTTGCAGAGCCAGCGGTGGAAATTCCACATTCCTATGGCGGGGGGTGGGGCGTGGGGCGAGTCCGTTGTTGCCTTTTTATTTTGTTCTACGAGGTGGTGCTTATATCGACCCCAGAGGGTGGGAGGGAGGGGGATGGGTCGAGTCGGCCCTCTCACGACGAGGATGCGAACTCGCGTCGCTCCGCTCGCTCCGCCACCACCGCGGGGCCCGCAGGCCGGACGGTGCCGCTGTGCGACGGGGGCAGCGTGCGACGAGCGTCGCCACGGTGCTACAAGGGGTTGGGTTCGACTCCCGACTCGGGCGCCTTTGTGGAGTCGTCTGTGTGTGGAGTGTTTGTGGAGTCGTGTCTGTGTGGAGTATGTGTGGAGCCTGTCTGGAGCCTGTCTGGAGTGTGTGTGTTGAGTCTGTCTGGAGTCTTTGTGGAGTCTGTCTGGAGTCTGTGTTCTCTCTCCCTCGGCTCTCCATCGGTCTCTTCCGACTTCTCCGGTTTCCTCCTCCCGGAGATAAAATAAAACCGTACAATGTCACCGGCATTGGCCAAACATCATCTCGGTGCTGGAAAGCCACGTGCAAAATTTACTCCATTTAAATCAGTTTGTCACAGGACCCTCCTGGAAACGAGCCCTAGAGGCTCGGTGAGGCTCTCCTGGCTACAACGAAACGTAAATAAGTAAATGGATCTAACCTACCGAGCAGAGTTTCCATCTGTAGCTCGGTTGATGCCTCTGTCCATACACGGCTCATAGAGCGACCCGGTAGTTGCGTGCGGGACCAGTTGTTGTGTAACGTCGCAGCTGCGGTCGATGCTCCCGGGACGACACGGCGGGAGGTCGCGTCTTCATTGTCGGCGAGCGGCCGAGAGCTCGGCCATCCCATCGCCCCCCCCACCTCGCTCTCTCGGAGACCTCGCCCCCACGGCCACGCTTCCAACCGAATGCAATTCTCCCTCGTACATACTTGAAGGTCTGGGAAATGAAATAGATGAAAGGGCAGGTAATGGGTGTTGTGTTTTGTTTATAGAGTGGTGGCACTTGGTGCTGCTCTGCCATGGCGCTACTGAAAGAATACGAGTGGCCTCCTGTGAAAGTGTATTATTATTGTTAATGATAATATTAAAAAAAGTCGATGTTTTAACTAATAAATGTTTATTATTCTCACTGCGTTGAGTGGGATGTTCAGCGCCGCGCCCGTGTTGCGAGTGTGTGGGTGCACAGTGGGTGGCACACTGGTGCATCCTCCAATCATCTCGATCAACCCATAACACCTGGGTCTGTCCTGTGGGCCTCCTACACCTAGCCTGGCACAAGACTTAACCCGCACCACCTGAGTCGGTCCAGTCAGCAGCGATAACCTTCTACACTTCACGTGACAGGCCTCAAAGTGCTCCAAGCCTGGCACAGGCTCCGTGATGGCGAGCAGCGGTTCGTGTGAGTGTTGCTTCTGTGATAGTGGTGGTTGATTGGTGGTGGTGGTTGATTGGTGGTGGTGGTTGATGGTGGTGGATGTCCCGATTGATGCTGTGAGATTTCACTGTGACACGAATTTTGTTCCTGGGTAGTGTTATTTTCTCATTGCTTATGCCTCAAAAGTATAGAAAATGTCTATTATTCACCACATACTTTGCTTTTGTGACCAGGACCTTATGTGAACAAAATACACAAATGCACACGTTTTCTCATTGAAGATAGGTCAATTAAAACAGATCACTGTCCTGGTCACAAAAGCAAAGTTTGTGGGGAATAATAGCCATTTTCTGTACTTTTGAGGCATAAGCAATTGGAAAATAACGCTTACTACCCAGGGACAACTTTTATTTTGTTACACTGTTTTCAATGGGACTTTTGAGGTCTTGACGATGGTACCGGCACCGCTTGATTGTGGTTCACTGCACCGCGCTACGAAGCCGAGCGAGCCGAGTTCAGTTCCAACTCACGGCAAACAGCGGTGACGAACGTCTCACCCGGTCCTGCACTGGGCCTCCCCTAGGTCGGCTCGGTATAAACTGAATGACTGGTGCAGTGTGTATTGCGATGGTGTTGGCAGCAGCACCGCACCTCATCGCACTCGGCCACACAGGTTCAATTCCGGGACATGTTGACCATTATGTTTCAGGATTGCTGCTGGGATCTTTGGGATATTTGAATGTTTGAAATCAAAATTAAATATCTGAACCTGGCCTGGGCCACCCATAGGTAGACTCTTAAAATGAAATCACTCTCGCTGGTGCGCAGGTGTGGTCGTGAACATCAGCCAATAGACACTTTGCGGACAGGCGTTTGTGTCGAACAGGCCTCACCGTCCCCTTGCAAACTGCGCCGGCCTCAACAGGCGAACTGCAGCAGCGCTCGGGCACCAAGAAGCCGTTCGGTGAGTGGTGGTGGTGCTGGTGGTGTTAGTTCGCTGATAGCGGCGAGGCAGGCAGGCGGGTGAGTGAGCGGGTGAGTAAGCGGGTGAGCGAGTGATCAGCCGTTCGGTGAGTGGTGGTGGTGCTGCTGGTGGTGGTGTTGGTTCGCTGATAGCGGCAAGGTGAGCGGATGAGCGAGTGAGCAGGCAGGTGAGTGAGCGGGTGAGTGAGCGGATGAGCGAGTGAGCAGGCAGGTGAGTGCGTGAGTCAACCGGTGGGTAGGCAGGTGAGTTAGCGGGTGAGTGAGCGGATGAGCGAGTGATCAGGCAGGTGAGTAGGCGGGTGAGCGGGTGAGCGAGTGATCAGGCAGGTGAGCGGGTGAGTACTGGTGGGTAGGCAGGCGAGTGAGCGGGGTGAGCAGGCAAGTGAGCGGGTGAGTGAGCGGGGGGAGCAGGCAGGTGAGCGGGTGAGTGAGCGGGGTGAGCAGGCAGGTGAGCGGGTGAGTGAACTGGTGGGTAGGCAGGCGAGTGAGCGGGGTGAGCAGGCAGGTGAGCGGGTGAGTGAGCGGGGTGAGCAGGCAGGTGAGCGGGTGAGTGAGCGGGGTGAGCAGGCAGGTGAGCGGGTGAGTGAGCGGGGTGAG